GCGCCTGCATTCGACATCCCTTCCCGCATCACTTTGGACTGAAACGCCCCATACCGTGTCAAAATAGTCGTCCATTTTTCATCCCCCGGGCGCATTCGTAGCAATTGGTACGAAGTGGGCATATCGAACTTGCTGAAAATCGTAGCCGTCCTAATCCGTTCGAGTAGAGTACTGATCCGGGGCAAGGGGTATATATCTTTCACCGTTTGCTTGTTCAATTCCCGGAAATCCGTCACCATCCGGAATTCCCCGTTTTTCTTTGGAACCAGAAACACAGGGCTTCCGAACCAGTGTTTCGACTCTTCGATATGACCTATCCGTTTGTTCTTGTCGATCCAGTCCTTCAGCCATTGATCTTGAGCATGCGAAAGTGGGTAGACTCGGGCCTTTCGTAACAATTCAGGGCTTTTAAGCTCGACCGCGTGATCGAAATCCCTGTTTTCGGGTAATGACTCGTAACTGGCACGCTTGAATAAGTCCAGACTACCATGACATTCCGACGGTACAAGGCTACGTAGCTCGCTCTCTTCGACCTCTTCCTCTTCCTCGTCGGGGTCTTCCGCCAGTTTCAGGGCATTAAAGACCGGATCTCCCTTTTCCAATCCATTGCCATCTACGAGCGTGCTCCGTCTTCCCTTCACTTCGATCCCTTCCGTCGTCAAACGGTCGTCTTGAATCTCGATAGACATGTCGCTAAAGTCGACAATGGCCCGGAAACGGACGTTAAAGTCTAAACCGAGGACTATTCCGCCCGTATCGAGGTCCATGATGGCCAGTTCGATCTCGATCGGTCCAAAATCCTTCTTTCGCAGCCGAATTTTGACAAAGTGCGTGATCGCGTCTGCTGCGATCGTTCCGTCAATCCTCCTCAGACGTTTCTTCCTCTCATAGGCAATCGGTACTAAACCCTCAAGTAAGGGGCAATGTCGGTCGATCGCGCTCTGAGAAGTCCCATCGTCCAGGAAGAACTTCCATTTCCCAGCGAAACCGTCCAATTCCGCCCTGAAGTAGCTCGTATGACTTCCCTCCATGTAAATCCGAAACCTTTTCCTAAGCGTGTCAGTCATTTTCTTTTGTTCCACACGAGACGATTCCTGACCAATCGCCTCGCTCAATCTTTTTCCGAATCGCTCGAACAGTCCTCCACGTAGGCGGCTCGGGCCTTGACTTCCATAGCGTTGGCCCCCGTCGCCAGATCTTGGGCCTTTCCGCCTCTTTTCGGACACGCGCTAACGATATGTCCCTTTTCCCCACACGAGAAACAGTTCCCTTCTCGCATGTTTCTTTCCCTTTCTTCCGGTGACATGTAAGGTCGTCGGGGCACATAGGCCGTTTGAGGAATCGAAGCGGGGACCGCCACGGCGGTTCTGGGCGTAAAAGCCGACAAAGGTCCCGAACTGGGACGGTAACGGGATCGAGCGATTTGAGCTTCCGTGATGCGTTGACGGTTCTCAATACGAACGACCCATTGCCTCCATTTGTCGAAGTTCTCCGGGGCGTCTAGGTCGTTTTTGAGTCTGATCAGTAGGGAATGTTCCAAACCCCCTTCAGCAAGGCTGATCAGAGAGTCGTCATCGTACCCGCTATACAGGGCCTGTAGGGCGAAACGGGCCAAGTACTCTTGAGCGGTACTAGTCTGCTTCATTTCCTGAAGAACCCGCCTAGCGTTCTCCTTTTCATCGTCCATCGGCCACTGATCTCTCATAGCATTCTTGAATAGTTGATAATTCTGGAACATAAGGGGCTTATCACGGGCGCTTAAGTCCATATAAGGCGTAATCCATACCCCGGCATCGTCTCGGAACCGAGAAATAACGGCCAGTACCCTTTGAAACTCGGACCGATACGTATTCGGTTGCAAAGTTACAAACGTATCGCATTGTACGAGGAAAGAAGGCAGCTGCTTGCTCTTCCCGTGAAATGTGTTCGGTTCTGGGGCTCGGGGGTCCCTACCCGAGGCCTTTTCGTACGCTTTGGCCCTGTCCTGCATGACAGCGGCCCGAACGGAACTCGAAACTTCGTTCAGTCTGGCGTACGGGTCGACGCCCTCCCAGACGTCTTCGGGATCCACGTAATCTCCTTCGCTGTCGGACAGGGCGGTTCCGTACCTTTCCGCCTGAACCCGTGCCCGAACAGATCGGCGTTCGGACACTTTGCCCTCTTCTCCCGTCGTCCCTTTCCTTGTTGGCCTCTCCACGGCCCGTTCCCTCATCGCGTTCATCTCCAATTCCAACCTTTGGTTCTTCATTTTGAGGAGTTCGAGTTCCTCAAACAACTTTTCCGTCAAACTCAGTTCTTGTTCTTCGTCATCCGGTTCCCTTGTTCCATCGAGTTGGTCATCTAACCCTTCTCGGTCGTTCTGTTCCTCGGCGTCCTCGCCGGCGTTCGCAATTTCTCCGGCGCTATTCTTTGCCGGACCTTGTTCGTCTTCGTCTTGTTCTTGTCTAGCGGAGTCATCCTCCTCTACCGTCTCGGGCGGAACCGTGGCTTTTCCGTTGCGGGGAAGCCTCGTTCTACCAAAGGGTTGAGCAGAAGTGGATCGCTGGGCAGACATTTTGAAGCGACGATATACTGTCACGGGGAGGCTAGAATACGTCGACGCGGGAGTTGTTGGGCGGTTCGGGGCGTTTTGGTACTATAGCGGCCGTTTCGTTGTGACTTAGTCCACGATACAGAAGGTAACGGTATGATGAACTTCGATATCGTCGCTTAGAACCCAATTCGGTTCTAAGCTCCTCATTCTACTCTACAATAGATCGCCCTCCTCTAAACTACGTTGCGGCGGTGTGTTCGACCGGTCGAGAGCGCGTCTTGGGCTTAATCGGGCGGAAAGGCCAAATAAAGGCGCGTTCCGTAGCGCGTCGGGATAAGTCCGAGGTTATGCTGAGCCGACGTTCCGGTTCCGATCGTCACTCGGTGACATGTTCAGAATAGTTTTCTAGTCGGCGCAAACGAAGTTTACCCTTGACATACGCTGCGCCCAGCGTCTCGATCTGTGATAACAATGCACGTAGGTAACCTGTAAAAAGTCAGAACATTGCAATGGAAGCTTCGAGACCGAAGCACGAACCTCTTGTTTCGATGTCAATCGTACGCCTTCCCACCGGAAGTTGGCGTCAATGCCTTCCCACCAAAGGGAATGTCGGAGGCAGACTAAAGGCATGTTGGCCCATGGCACCTGCGTCACCTTGGCACTGGGAGGTAGCATGGCGTTAAGCTGCTCCTTGACCTCTTCAGTGAGTCGGGTACGCTGTTGAGCATTGCTCATGCCAGCATGATGACGCTCAAGGGAAGTCGAAGATGGAATTCCCGCCGTGCTAGCAGCTGTTAGTTGTTGGTCGTCTGTTTCCGACAGGTCAAACGCACTGTCAACTTGAATCCTAAGATGATACATAGTCGGACAGGGAGCTTACTTCGTCGCGCACGGGCTTCCTGGATGGCAGCTTGGATTCCGCTGAGAACGCCATAGGTTCCCGCCATGTCTCCTCCGCCCAGTCCCCATCGTTTCCATAGCACCGCTCCTAGATATGGACTTTGGACGATGTATTGCGGCACAAATGGGTGATCGGCATCGACCGGCATAAGCAACAGACAGCTGGCAATATCGTGCATCTCGTGTAGTCGATTGAGCTAAGACCAGGAAAGACGAGATGATTCCCGCAACCGAAACATATCAGCATGGAGTCGAACTCGGTTGCGCCGGGAATAGCAAGTCACTAACTTTAGAAACAATGTCTTGCTGTACCTCCGCAGCTCGCCTAGCTGCGAACCGTCTGGCATCAGTGGTACGAGGGGGGGCTGTGGTCGAGGTCGTCTTGCGTCCTGCCCGTCGCGATTCCAGATCTTGTCGGACTTTTTCGATGTAATCCTCTGTCCAGTAACCCTGCTGTTTCCTTTTTTTGGCCTCTAGAATGGCATTGACGAAAGACTCCCGTGGTGGAGTGGGAATATTTGTATCCAAGTCATGTCCCGCCAGTGAAGAAGCAGTCGACGTAGCTGAACGTTCTGCAGGGCCATGACGCAGAGCTGATGTAAACATGTGCATGGGGATGAAAATACGAAACCACACTGAACTGACTAAGGTCTTCCCGAGTAACGTGTACCATTGCTTGCCAAGCAGTTAACTTCCGATTCTTTTTTTCCTTCTCAGTTATGTTTAGGACAGAATGGAAAAGCGTTTGAGGCTTTACATTGAGCCTCGTAGCATGTTCGGCACATTGATTGCGCAACGACGACAGTATATCCTGAACGGCAAGACTGAAATTCAATCTCGACATGAATTGTGGGCGGGCTGTACGGAGGTCGAGACGTTCACCCAAGTCCGGGATTGCATCTTCTTCCAATAAATCTTGAGCGAGATCGAGCGGGAAGTCCTCATTGTCGTTTGTGTGGTCCATGTTGTTAGGGAGGCTTTGATGGGTTGTTGATGAATGGCTATATTTGTAGGGGATCGAGATATTTGAGCGTGGGGTATCAATTGAGAGATAGTATGGATTTGAGAAGGTGAGCTGATGAAGCGTTGTCTGAATGGAGTTGATGAGGTGAAGTACGGGAGTGCAAAACAGTAAGCAGCTAAGCAGTTATCAGGCTGACTGTTGTTGACTTTTTGAACTTGTCAATACGGCGGGAAGCGGGAAGTGCCTGCTGGATAGCGGGAACGATTCCCACGTCACGTGAGAAACAAAGGGCGAAAGAAGAGTCTTCTGTCTCCAGGACGAACAAAGAGTCGATGTCTGTTTCGCAATTGTTAGCTGGTTGCTTAGCCCTGATCACCGTTACAGACAACAAAGGAGAAAGAGGTATATCAAGCTCATATGAATACGGGCGAACAAGGACAGTCATTGTGCTAGTTACATGTGTGCATATAATATCATTGACGTTCTTATCTTCTTTTCACCTGGCAAATTCCTCATCGCACATACATCGCCCTTGCCCGCTCATCGTTAGATTCGCATCGCCGCAGAAATCTCACTACCGACTTAACTCACAGACATATAAGCATGAAAAACGTATCAAAGAAGTCCGGTGGGAACGCAGCTACCCCGAAGAAGACCAAGGCTGAAGTGAAGGCAGGACAGAGGTGGCGGGCACAACAGATCAACGAACGTAAAAGGTTGAAGAAGGAGGCCGACCTCGCCAAGGCAGCAGAGACAGACGGACAGCGGGAACGAGAGGTAAGTTGTGGCTATTGGGCTATGGTATTTTCAGATGGCGTGGAACGTTGTTTGCTGACCCTTGCTGTTCCAACAGGGACATGCAGCGACCGGTGGTGTGGCTCCGGATAACAATCAGGGACCGGCCAGGTCTCGCAAGGCAACATCACCGTTGACTCCGCTCTCTGTAAGCCCTCGTTCTCATGTGGTACTAAGCGTGAAGTGTCAACGTGTTCTAAATTGCACTTGTGCTGGTGGGAACAGGATGATGGTACGAACGAAAACGAGCTGGAACAGCAACAACAGCAGCAACAACAACAGCAACAGCAACAACAACACCAGGAGCAGCCGGAGCAGCAGCAGCAACCTGCGGGAAATGGTATTGAGGTTGGTGTGGAAGGGGAGGTGAATGCAAAAAGCGGGAAGAACGAAGAGGCGAACTCGGACGCGCCCACATCGAAAAAGAAGGCCGTCGACCCAGCCGATGTTGAAACGGAGGCCGTGAGAGAGCAAGCCGAGACGGAGAAAGCCGAGAGGGAGAAAGGCGAGAGAGAGAAAGCCGAGAAGGAGGAAGCGGAGAAGGAGAAGGCGGAGAAGGAGGAAGCTGAGAAGGAGAAAGCGGAGGAGGAGAAGGCGGAAGAGGAGAAAGCGGAGAAGGAGAAAGCAGAGAAGGAGGAGAAAGCGGAGAAGGAGAAAGCAGAGAAGGAGGAGGGGGAAGAGCAGTCAGAGAAGGCCAAGACGGTGAGACTCAAGATCATATCAGCAGGCGGGAATGAGTAGTTGTTGATGATTTGGTTTGTGGTAATAGCGATTTGACCTTTTCCAAGGGATTTTTCCCAAAGCAGCGTGGCCGGTACCAACTATCCGGTTGAGAGGTCCACGTCAAATCCGAGCTTTACCTAAGCTCAAGCCTATCGACAAGGCTGCTCTCGAAGCCAATTTCGCAAAGTTCCAAAAATTTGCGGGGGTCTCGGGTCCTGCTGGGGATGGGCGGGAATCGATGATTGGATCGATTCGAGCAGCGGCGGAAAGCGTCTGGACACAAGGACGGAAACGGCGAGGAGGGAGTCAAGGCTTGGACCCGGTTGGTGATCATGAACAAAGGTCGAGCTCGGTAATGGCGGACGATGTAGGCGAGGGTCAACGCAAAAGAGCGAAGCCGAATCCCGAGCAGGACAACCCAACGGGAGAGGCGCAAGATTTCATGGGACAAGTGGTGTATGGGCGAAAGCGAACGCTGACCCAGCCTATCTACCGGCCTGGAAGTCGATGGAGAGAACCATTCCCTACCGCGCGGCACAAAAACGTGGAAGGTTTCGGTCACGCACTCATGCAAGCGATGCATGCGGTCGAAGACTCGATTGCCACACCTCAACAATGGGAGGATCGCGTTGTTCCACACCTGAAGGATATTCTTCAAGAAGGATGGGAAGGAGCGGAATGGGAGAAGATACGGGACATCGCAATGAACCGTAGTATTTCCAAATTTTCCCGCCTCTGCGAATTCTTCGAAGTGTGTTGGGACTCAGGTGCCTATGCGGAAGGATTCAGCATCTGCGATAATCCCGCAATAATTCAGGCCTATGGGATCGTGGTGCAAGCCATTGAAGCGCGGGAGGACCGGTGGATAGGAATGTCCAAGCACGAACTGTACGAGAAGCTGCACTTTGTGTTCCGAGGTGAACAGCTCGGTTGCCGGTATGACGTTCTCGACGACAAGCAGGAGGTGATGCTGGACGAAATCCTTGAGATCGAGGATAGGGTCGCCGACATTGTCTTTGACCTATTCGGGGAGGTCAGCCCCGCACTGGTGGAGCGTGGTCGATTGGGCATCGATGGACGCCCACAAGAATGCGACACCACGGAAAAGAAGGCTCTATGGGACACCAGCCGGGGGCTGATCACGCAGGCGCGTCGCAAGCGGGATCTGCTAGCCTGCGCAATTCGTGCTGATGGGTGGATCGAAGGGGTGTTTATGGGGCGGGAATGGATGAAAGGCGCTTCTCCCGCGCTGGTATCTTTGATGGGAGGGGTGCTGCAGGGATTTGCAAACCGGCCGGACTACAAATCGACAAGCTCGTTGACCGGCGAGTTACATTATCTGCGGCGGCTATTGGGCGAAGGCAGGTTCTATGAGAGCGAATGGATCCCCATCCTCGACATGTTCCGCAGGACCGATAGCGTGATGACGCAATCCACTCTCAAAGCGCTTTTGGGTGCTGTGCGGCTGCCGGAAGCACGACAGCGATGGGCTGATATCAGTAGCCGAGCGCGAGAGCTCTGGCGGGAATCCGGGAAATCGTTCAGGATGCCGATAGCCATCGACGCAAACTTGGCCAACGTCAAAGCTGCCCAAGCACTGCGAGGGGTCGTGAACTTGGGTAACAGGCCGCTCATCGCCGCTGGCCGACGTGCTTTGAGAGCTCAGGTCGAAGACAAGGTTGGCACGTTCCCACACACGGAGACCTGGGCGAGCTATTTTGCGGATGTTCACCAACTGAAACTTGGTAACATGAGCGGGATGACGTTTTGTGCTCGTGCAACTGCGCGGGAATCGGTTTTCGCTAAGGTGATGGGTCTGCTTGAACACTCGCTCTACGAGAAAGAGAAGACCGATGAGCTCGACAAATCAAAGCATAGTCTTCACCGATTTTTGGTTGAGTTCCACTACCAAGAGCTCGATGCGGACGGCCGTGTGGAGTCGGCACAAGTTGACGCCACCATCATCGAGGAGAAGTTCATGTGGTCCAAGCCCGCAACGAGGATGGAAGTTGACTGGCAAAACGAGGATGCGCGGGCAGACGCGTTGGCGGAAGAACAGGCTCTGTGGGATGAGTAAGTGTACTAATGAAACGTGGTTGTTACAAGTCAAAGGCCTGATCACACGGTTATATATCCAGCGACACGTTTGGCGCAGGAATCGATGCAAGCCAGAGCCAACCTGAGGAACAGGAACCTGAGTTGGACGGCATGTTCGACTTTGGCACCGGGAACGGAGAGGAGGGTGATCGGGAAGGTGATCTAGATATGGATATCACCATAGACCAAGGTACCGAGCCCGCAAGGCAGAGTGATAAGCCTGCTACCGACGTGGTCGACGAGGTTGGTAAAGCAACAACGGAAGTCACTACGGGAGCCAACAAGGATACGGTGCGGGAAGGGGCGCAAAAGGCGGGAACCGGAGAATCGTTAGTGTCGAAATGCCTGGATCTCGATGGAAATACTTCTGACATAATGAATTGCTCTCGCTTGACAGCTTCTTCCATAAGGCTCTGGGTCGAAGGATGGTCTACATCGATTGCACGAAGCACGTGTACCCATCGTTGAAGAAGGAGAACGCTACCAATATCACCTGGAAGCAAGACGAGGATGGTGATTGGCTTCCCGCAAGTATCATTACGGCGAGTGAAAGTCGGACCGACCAGCAAGCCCGCGACGCGAGAGCCAAGGAGTGGAACAATTTCGTTGATACCGTGAAGACGAAAGCTGTGAATCTTGCGGAACGAACGGGAACGACATCGGTGACCATCTGTGCTCGACCTATGGTAGAAGACGACAAGGGAACGGTGGTGTTATTCACCTCGCCGGGCATGGTGGAACCCAAGGACGAGTCGTGGGAACCAATGCTAAAAGCTTTCTGGGAGAACACGTACAGAGGCGCGGCGGACTTGTGCGATCGTATTGAAGAACGGGACGCAAAGTTTGTTGCGGCTAAGCCTGAGAAGGAAAAGGGCGGGAAGAGAGGTAAAGCCGGCGGGAAGTAGGAACTCGGTGTTGGATCCCAAGTAATTGTATAGTTTGCATCTCAAGCGGTCTTCATTCTCGAGCTATGTACTTTTAGCAAGGTGTCTGTACTATCTTCCAGTATAAATATAATGGTGTACTCTCCCAAGCCAAAATGTCTTTGCGAGAAAGGAATTTGGTGTTTGAGAAATGCATCAAGTCCATGTCTTGGCTGGAGCTAAGTATCGACGTGGTGTGACACTGCAGAATGGAGGGGCATTTGTATATCTGTGTTCCAGCGAAAGGAATAGATAATTGTACATAGATACATAGAGAAGGGACTGTCTGGAAAGAGACTGAAGGGAAGAATAGCAAGTGCGGAGAGTTTTGGGGGAGGGGCGACTCTTGAGAGGAAGCGGGAAGTATTATTTTGCAGGCGAGAATGCAAAGGGCCGTGGACGGGAACTCATTTAGGCGATGCGAGAATGACGTAACGGCGCGCGAAAAATTTGGCTTTGCGCGCAAAGTCTCGCGCGACGATCGCAAAAGGCGAATCTAGCATAGAATTAAGCCGCGCTGTCGTAGAGTTGTTAGCCTAGGCCAGCGCGTCACGGTGCCAGGGATAGGTGAGAGCTGAGGTGAGATGAGCCTGACACCTTTTTCTTCTCTTCGGTCATCGCCATGCAGCATGCAGACTCTACATCGTTCCGGCATATCGGCGCATCCTGCCTACATACCTCGAGACCTATAGACCAAGGAGTCAAGGGGCACACAGTCCCCGTCGGCCACATTACCTCGTTGGAAACCCGCTCGTCGCTCATGCAATCAATCAAACGGGTCGCGCTCTCGAGCCCCGAGTCGTCCTACCCGGACGGCAAGAGCCGGTATGTCATCTCCCAGATGTTTACCCAGTTCGGTGGACATACGGGAGAAGTCAAGTTATACGAGTATGACAGAGAGGTAAGTCGTTCACCGCCTGTGTACTTTTCTTACAGGAGACGGGGATACAGGACGTTGAGCTGATTCGAGTCGTGTTGATGCGTTGCCGGGGGTGTTCATGACCAGCTCAGTCATCCAGCTCGAAATTGGTCGCCCACGCTACCGACCTCCCGGGCCTAAAGGTGAGTCGAAGAGAGGCTTCCTTGTAACACCCTGATCATCTCGTCGACCGTAACTGAAGTTGTCCTCCCACTGTCGCCCTCTTGACGCTGCATTGCGTTGACGTTGACAGACCATCGCCTGGTCAAACCACCCTTCTTACGAATGCCTCCTCGCTTGCGGGACGACCCAGGGAAAGATCCACATCGTCGACCTCAACTCGACTACGTTGCAAAACTACCACCCAGGCAACTTTGACGCCTCGCAGATAAACTCGGCGGAATCGACCCGCCGTACCTCGTCGACAACGTCTTCGTCATCGACGATCCTCGGAACCCTCAACCTCCCGACTAATCGGGCTTGCATGCAAGTCGCCTGGTCCGCAGTCGACCCTTCGGTTGTGATAGGCGGGTTCGACAAGGTGAAACAACAAGCTTCGTTGTGTATCTGGGATTTGGAGGTTTCTTTGCAGGGGGGAGGGTTTGATGTCGGAAACGGTGCCGCAGGGAGAGGTAGAAACGCAGGTCCAGCCGGTCCTGGGTTTGTTAATGGGACCAGGGCAGGAAACGTGGAGAAACTCCGACCTTACCCGTTTACCGAGGAAGATCACCGGAGACCCAATATCGACTACCTCAATCCCGATTCCCACGCAAACACGTCGGACGGGTCGAGGAGAAGACCCTTGCAACAATACTTGCCTGGAGAGTGCGTCAATTCCGTATCCACGTTTACGCATACCAACACGCTTGTTCTCGCCGGAACCAGTTCGAAGGCTATCAAATGTGTCGATCTAAGGGTACCGGGTGTGTCTGCGGAAGGTGCGAATACAGGGGGACAGAACTCAAATCCCGGCGAATCGACAGGGTTGGGGAACCTAGCCTTTTCACTTCCCACCCGGGCCATCTACAACCTCTGTACTTCGACGCTCTACCCGCACTTGTTTGCTTCGTGTGAAGATGGACTTTCTGGAGCGGTCAAGATCTGGGACACGAGGTTCTTGAGGTCTGGGACCGATCATCCCGGGTTGTTCAACTTTGACATCAACAATAACAACAACAATAATAGCCTTCTCAGCGACCCCTGTTCGTACGATTCCGGACGAGGAGGTGTCGTAGCGCTTAGGTGGGATCAGAGGGAATCTGGGCGGGGTGGACAGCGATTGGGAATAGGGACCAAGGAGGGCGGGGTGATTTTGTATGACGTCTTGAGTGGGGAGACGGTCGATACCACGAAAGACGACGGGGAGGGGGAAGGTGCAGGTGCAGGGAGTGAGTTTGGGAGGACGGGTTCGAGAAGGGGAGGAAGGTCGGGTGGAATAAAGTGGACGACCCTGGCCGGGGTAAAAAACAGTCAGTCCTGCAGTGTTGGACTTCAGACTATCATTCCGTGGCAAGATCGCTGAAACAGTATGAGCGCGGTGGCTTTCCGTAGCGCAAACGACCTCGGACGCGGTTTTGCAGACGTTTGCGTTCTTGCCACCTAGGGATTCGGGGAGGTCGAGCGTCTTGAGCATTTTCAGAGACAATAAGAACACGGTCGAGGAGACTGGGTTGTCACCACTCGTGAAGTTTGAGACCTAGAATCGAAGTTGCTATGTTGTGGGCTAACCGGGCGTGCTGTTCGTCAGGTGGCTTCTGGACGGATGGGGGACGCTTCGGTTGCGTTGAACTCTTCTATGACCTTGATCTCGCCTTCGGAACAAGTCCCTATGTTACCTACCGCTATCACGCCGCCTTTACCGGGAACCACCTCGAGCTCGGGCGCCACGCCTCCTCTGCCTCGCGGTCGGACGCGCTCTCAACGTGGATCGCAACGCACGACGCTCAATGTCCGCAACTTGAGCTTGAACCGGAATGCTATGATGGATACGAACATGGTGCCCGAGCAGCCTGTCGTAGAACAGACTCGGACGCGGCCGACCGGGCAAGGAGGTCCATTGACTTGGCAGAGGACGCCAGAAGGAGGCGGGGGTATGCAGGGACCATCTCTTCAAGCCGCTCAGGCATATCTGAGCGAGAAGACCGGTGCAATCTCGCCCGTGCCCGCTCCCGAGGATTCAGCAGATTTTGACTGGAGCGATATCATCGGGATGGATATTGGCGAAGCCATGCGCCGCAAGGCTATGCTGGATTTCGGCTTGGAAGTAAGTCGGTTCAGCGCGATCTTTTTTGAGATGACATGCTGAAGTGAGACCATCGAGACAGCTTTCGTCGAATGATGCGATCGAGGCCAAGATCCCCACGACCGATGGGTTCCTATTTGAATGGCTCGATCGTGTGTATTCCAGGTTCTCGATGGGGGAATGAGACATAGGGCTGATCAATGTTCACCTCTGCATGATAGGTTTCATCCGGTTGATGGGTCTTCCCGAGATGCGGTCGATGGATGGGTACGATTTCACACTGCAAGGCGTCTACGGCATTTGGAACGGACGTCCCGCGGCCCCGTCACGGAGCGCATCAGCTGAACGAGAAGCCGGATCGGACTCGTTCCTATACTCCAAAGCGGTCGCAGCCAGAGCAGCGGCTTCGAGGGGTGGCAGGACGCCTGACAATTCGATGGATCCGGATTACATCCGGGCGATGGAAACGATTATCCGACAGCGACCCGACGAGTTCCTCGATACCGTGTTGCCTGTCGAGACATCGAGACGCACACACCGGAGGTTCATGCTGGCCATCTGTGGCGAGCTGACAGGAGCACGGCTCGAAGCAGAAATCTCAAGGTATGACAAGGGCAGTCAAGGGCAGTCAAGAGCATTCACAAGAGCGTGTATTGACGGTTACTTTGGGTGGTTCCGTTAGGATCTCGCAAACCCAGCTCACTAAGGCTGCTTGGATAGCGCTCGTGAATACTCAGCGAGACCGGGCGATTCGTATGCTCAAACAAAGCGATAGTCAGTCGCCTCTCTTGGCCTTTACTATTCCAAATATCGCTAACACTTGCCCCCGGGTGTCTCACCAGGCGATACACATCGGATGTTGAGCTCGTTCCTGCAGCAAGGCCGGATAGACCAGGCGGTAGCCAAAGAGCTCCGCTTGTCCGACCCGTACATGCGCGCCATGGTCAATTATCTCGCAGGCGGTGCCTCTTGGGAACTGACTATCAACGACCGAGATTTGCCTCTGCTTGATCGGACTGTTCTCGCTATCCGATTTGTGAACGATTCTGCGGTACGTTAAGACGATCGGCTGTGCTCCAGTCTCTGCGCTCACCCTATAAATGCATACTAGCTGTCAGCGTTTTTGGAGAATCAGACAAAGATCGCGCAACAACACGGCTCGCTGCAGGGCGTACCATTGACCGGTCTCGGCGAAGCGGGTCTCGAAGTGATATCTCGATATGTGGATATTACCGGCGATATTCAAGTTGCCGCCATCTTGGGGTCTACAACCCGAAGGCCGTCGGCTCAGGTCACTCGCTGGATCGAGGACTATCGCGACATGCTTGACGGGTGGAAGTTATACCGTGCCAGGGTCATGTTTGACATGAGCCGAGGTAATATCGCTCGATGGTACGGTGACGAGATCAGGACCCCGAAGCAAGTCGTCGTGAGGTGCAACTTCTGTCAGAAGAACATCACTAGCGGCGGCGCGCGCGAACAAACTGTGCAGAGCAAGACTAGGGTGAGTTCTGCGGGCAACGTCTGTGAGCTACCAAGTCTGACAGGCAGTTTCGGCAGACAATGGGCTGTCCGACTTGTCACAATCGATTGCCTCGCTGTATCGTGTGTCTACTGCAGATTGACATGGTACCACCTGATGGGCCGGCACACCGTGAGTCCCCTTGGTTGCTGGCCGGCAGGCTCTGCTGAATCATCAAAAAACGATCTATAGATACCCTCGAGTCGGCGTTCGTCTTTTGCCAAACGTGAGTCAGATGTTAACCTCAGACTCTCACAACCTGACCTTGAGCGGTATTCCCACAGATGTCATCATGGAGGACACTATCAACACATCATGGAATGGTTTTACGGTACGGGAGACGAGGCTGGGCCAAATCCGCATGACGTCTGCGCCGTTTCAGGTTGTAGCTGTCATTGCGCAGCGTTGCGCTGAAAGAGAGGGATATGATCATAATGAAGCACATCACTAAAGTGAAAACGCTACGCAAAATCGCTACATAGGGGCTGAGATCGTCAAAGGAGAGTAAGGAATACGGCATTAATGTCCGTGAGGTGCTGCTCGATGCGATACCACCTCTTGAGGTAGTAATCGCTCTCAGAGCTGGGGGATGACGGATCTCTTGCGTTTCTTCATTTTGCAACTGTTAGAGTCCAAGGTAAGCGATCATGATCACCATCGTCCCGAGAAAGCTGACTTGCACGCCGGTAGAATGAGCAGAATTTCCAACAGAGGTAGTGGCCGGGTCCTTCGCATCGGGCTGGCTGTCGATTTGGCTAGGAGCGGCTCCTGTAGGTCCAGTAGCTTGAGGGGCACTTCCGTCGGCACCGGTCGCCTGAGGGGGAGCTTCGTTTCCGCTAGCAGTCGAACCGCTGCCGGAACTGCTAGCGGCGACCTGAGTGGCTTCGGGCGCCGTGGCGCTTGTTTCACTGGTACCGACGACAGAGCTGGGTTGCTCGCCTTCTCCAGAAACCTGAGTAGGCTGTGCAATGGCGCCATCAGACGCCGTGATACTGACGGGCCCATCAGTCGGGGTAGCTTGGTCTTGCGTAATGTCGTCCGCCGATGATGCTCCATGCTTGATCGAGCTAGGCATGGCTTCGACGATCTCTCCTGCGGAGGTGGTAGCGGCGGGCATAACAGTCTTGCCAGTCTCGGCCGAGGTGGTGAGACTGATGGTGGAAACGGCAGAAGAAGGTGCAACTGTGGTCGAAGCGGCACCCGGGAGGTCTGGGCAGATGCCGCTGGCAGCGGCGTCCTCGATGGAAAGGAAGACCTGGTGTATTGTTTGGGGGTATCAGCTTATTTGCGGCAAATACAGAATCGAAATCTCGCTTACGAAAGGCTTGCCACCGTTAGCAAAGCTGACCTCGACGGAACCGTCTGCAGCAACTTGGAACGAGGTACAGGTGAGCATGCTGAAGAAAATGGAGTTGTCAGTGCATTGAGTACTACCGGAGCATGAGAATCAAGCTGTCAGGCCTACTCTACCGCTGTTCCGTTGAACCCGGTGCTCGGGACCTTCAAGGTACCCTCGGTGCTACCAGATCCTCGCTGATGGGGAACCATCAGCTGTCTTTCGGGTCCGCTGTGGAATAGTCGAAGCTCACTCACGTTAGTAACGACAAAGACCGCCTTGCCTCGCTTCAGTCCGGCCTCGGTCTTCGATCCTTTGGGGGTGATCGGCTTGGCGAGCTGGGTGTCAAAGTCGCTAGAGGTAGAGAGGTATCCTCGAACTTGATGAACACGCTACATGAATTGGAGTGGAGCTGGATTAGCAACTATAGCGTGTCAGCCTCGACTCCCCATCCGTACCTACCTTGATAGTCTGATAAGCGAGCTTGTCAGTAGGATAGTTTGAGGATCCAACACCTCCGATGGTGGACCAGAGAGCTTGACGGTTGTCCTAAGCGGTGAAATCGCATTCGGTCAACGACGAGCTCAGTCAATACATGCGACATACTGTATGCTTACGGGGTCGTCCTAAGCGGCACCATTCAGACTGATCAGCGACAAGGCTCGGTCATTCTGCACAACAAACAACTCACCAGGCCATAAGCGAGTTCCTACAATAGAGGGGCGCGCGTCAGCAAGGTTGGCATACGGCATGTGAAACGCCTACTTTGGAAACTTACCTGCTCGTCACCATAGTAGACTACGAGACGGAGGTCAATGAGTATTAGACCGAGAATCGATATGGGAGAGCCGCTCGACTAACCTGTGGGGATACCCTCGACCATCAGGGCAGAGACGAAGGCGTTCTGACCGATCACCGCATCTTGGTTCTTTGCGTACCAACGCGGGTTGTCGTGGTTTCCTACGCGCAAGATATCAGGTTCTCTGGATGACATCGGCTATGGCGCGGAGAGAAGAGCTTACCAAAGAACGTTCCCAGGACGGTGGTGTCCTATATACTTCCGATGTCAGCCGCCGAGCATGTCTAGTACAGTTCGAAGGTTTCGCTCACTTTGATCCAGTACTGCTGCTCGTCGAGCTTGTTCAAGAAAGACTGCATGTTGAGGGTAGGCGTAGAATCAGGGATGAAGGCGTGCTTGAACCCTTCGTACAAGGGATAGCTGTGGATGCTGTCGATGAAGCCGTCGGTGTACTTCTTTTGATCCCTATTATCGACAGGGACGGGATGCATCAGCTCATTCATATCGAGACGGTCAAATGTCACGGGCATGCGGTACCTACTGAGCGGCGTTACTGTAGACTTCTCCCATACACATGACCCCTGCGGCTTGACAGAAGTCCTTCTGCGATTGGGGTTCCATGTGCTTGGCAGCTGAGAGATCATCTTGCTTGTGTGAGTCTACAATCATAGTAGTCGTCAAACACAGCTCAGATGATCAACTTACCGTCCAACCTCAATCCGTCGATGGCATATTCTTGGACAAAGCCTTTGATCCAGGAGTTCAACGTGGATTGTACCGAAGGACTATCGGTGTCGACGTCGACCAGGGCGACCTCTGTCAAAATTGTGATGGATCAGGATCAGCTCGGCGGCAGACCAGACACAGTATGGACAAACTCACTGTCATCACCCATGGAGCTGGAATACCGACAATAGAAAGTCAGCCTCTTGCAGAGTTCACTCCTCAACCACAACGACGTCCTACTTACCAAACCCGATACTCGGGGAGCTTGCCATAGTCCCTGATCCTGCAGTATGGGTTGTGGTAGCTCCCCTCATCCCTGTACATCATCAAAGGATCCTGATCCAACATCTCCTTGACTGTACCCTTCCCCCGGGGCATGGTGGCGATGTGGTTGATGACGATATCGACCATGACGTAGATCCCACGATCGTGAGCGGCTTGAATGAGCGATTTCAGGTCGTTCGAGGTTCCGAATCGAGGGTTGAGCTTGGTCACGTCGTTCACCCAGTATCCGTGGATTGCGCTTCCGTAAGGGGTAGTGACATCGATGTTCTGGTTGACGGGGCTGTAAAGGTTTTAAACCAGCGAATGTGATCAGGATTGACATATGAATGAAGAGAAGCGAGGAGAAGATGCTTACGAGATCCAGATAGCGGAGAATCTGCAGGTCATCGGTAACGTTGACTATGAGCGAACCATACCTCGAGACAGGGAACAAACTCTGCTTGTACTCACCCCATGTCCTTGATGTAGTCGAGCTTGTCGATAATACTCCTCCAGTTACCACCGCACCAAGTGGCTCCCTTGGGATCGCAGTTGGCGACCAAACCCTCCGTCAACGCCTGCTCCGGAGTGGGCTGGGCGAAACGGTCGGTAACGATCTGGTACATGGACCTGCCACGCCATTGTTCCTTGGTAGCAGCGTTGACGCTGGTAGTGGCCAGGCAGGCCAGGAGTCCGACGAGGGCGTTAAAGTTTTTCATCTTGCTGTTGTCCACCAGTCAAGACAGATGAGGCCAGTCGGGAATGGAAACGTAAGCCGTTCGGGATGGCGATCAGCGAAGGTCCATCAAAATGGACAACCAGTTGGTCTCGGATAATACTCACTTTCGTTTCCGTATGAGAGTTCGTGACAAAGGGTGTTTCTTTGTTGCGACTTGTCGAGTGTCAAGGGGTTGGGCTCCTGAAAACTCGAGTCGGGATGGATAAAGGCAGGTGTCGTCAAAGGGAAGTGCCCGAGAATTCTCGTGGGGACCGGGGTTGTGTTTGTTCGTGATTCGTAAATCTGTTGTATAGACCGGCTAGAGTGAATGAGTGTGTGTGTGTGTTTACCGAATGCGTGATGTTATTTGTCGTCAAGCGTGAGAGGGAGGGGTGGCGATACGATATGTGAGAACAGAAAGTGGTGGAGTAGATCGAAGGTAATAGCTTGCAGCTTGACAGCGGTGATGGTTTATATACCGCTGCTGCCTCGCTGACCGCCTCTCCCCGCCCCTCCCTTGCCTTCCCCGTTCCCATCCGATCGTCACATGTCAACAAATCCAACATGTTCCCATCAAAACCGGGGAGTTTCATCAAACAACAACAACGCAACACGACGACACCTCTCTCACCTTTTCCCTCCTCTTCCCGCGCTTCATGCTTCCAGCCGCGCAGGGTGCCACCTCGTCTCATCAGCCTCGGCCCACGCAAAGGCAGCTCCAGCTCCCACCCGGGGGTAAGAGAAAAGGGATTGATGACCGAGTTTCATAGACTCGTTTTGGAAGCGCGCGTGAATCCCTTTTGTTCCGCCCGTCCCTCGCCCTTGTGCTGCGCGCGCGACGAGTCTAGGCTCAAAAACTCGAAACGTTTCGCGACGGGGTCTTTGTTCGGTTTGAGCGAAGTCTACATCCCCTTACCTTGTCGCAGGGCATGAGCTATCTCGTGTAGACGCCTGCGATGAGAGACTCCCACTCCAGTCGTTCCTCGTGATTGTTGTCTCCATGGAAAAGGTAGCAATACATCCAGAAAATTGATGGAGGGTATCTTCGTTTGGCCCAGTCAATGAGCCACAATGTAAGAGCAATGTGGTACCAGTGGTCCACCCTAACATGCTGTAAACCGGCCGTATCGCCCGCTTCTCTCTTGAGACATCTAACCGACTTGCAGCGGCAGAATATATGCGGGACAGCAATGGCATCTAGGAGATGCGGTCATCGGATCATCGTAAAAGGGCGTATATGCGGATCGCATTGACGCTCGATTGCTTTGAAAAGGGTATCATGTGTGCAATCAGGACCTCGGCTGCGTTCCGTGTATCGCAGTAACTATTAGTAATACAACATCCTTATCTATCCGCATCAGCGCCTACTGCTGTCCTATCGTATCGTGCTTCGTAAGTTTTCGAGATTCAGTAGACGATGTCATTCATTCCGTTTCTTAACGCAGACCCGCGCCAGCACCAGTACCAGCTCCGGACTGACTCTGCCTGTAATAATACTCGGCCTGTTCCCTGGGCGTCATCCCTTCCACCCCAGATCCGACTCCCGCATGGGTGGTTCCCGAGGCGATGGCCGGGTGTTGAGGAGGGGGAGGCAACCCCTCCGACCCTCCAACGACAGGGTAGGCTTCTCCAGACTTTTCCGGGGCCGAAGCTCGGGCGGCGTATCCTTCTCCGTACCCGGGCAGATCACCCCCATGTTGCTGCTGTTGTTGCCCTTGTTCAAGTCCGGCTCCACCGAGGCTATTCAGCCTGACGACCCCATGACCCGCCTCGGGTTTCTCCTTCCGCTCCAACTGACCCGTAGCGGGACCAGGACCTTGGGCGCTGTGGCTGTTGTCCACAGGGATGCCCGTCTCAGCGACAGTAGGGTGAGAGGCGACAGCATCGTCATTGAGCAGGGTCGGGGGCGAGTCGGTTCTCAACGCGGATTCTCCAGAGGGAGTTCCGAAGCTTTGATGAGACGCCTGAACGGGGTGGTCAAACGAGCTTCGGTGCTTGTGCGCCGGACCGACGTTCAAGGCGCCCATCATCCCGGTGTGAGGGTGTGAAGGGGGCGAAGCGGCCGTCCCCTGTCCGAACGATCCGTGTGGGCTATGAGGGATCGGAGCGGGTGTGTTGTTTAGATGGGACGAAGGGTACGCTCCGATGATATCCGCGTTCAGGGGCTTGTTGGTCTCCTCAAAGACGTGCGAAGGGACATGAGCTGGACCGGTCGACAGTCTCGGGGAGACCCTGCCGCTGGTGGTATGAGGGACGAGACCACCGTCGTCGACGCTGACCCTCCATCCACCCTCGAGGCCCGCAAGGCTCTTCCTCACGCCCTCTTCGATCGACCTGACCCGGTCTTTCTTCTGGCCGGCGGAGAGCTGAGACCCCGGGGTCAGAGTAGATGGCCCAGAGATATTGACGTTCTTGATCGGCGTAGCGGTGCCAGCAGGAGTGGTCAAATGTTGTTGAGCTCGAGAGGCGCTCGGGTAGAGGTCAAGCAAGGTGGTCCCAGCATGCGAGAGCACCATGACGTTGCGGGCGTACTACCAGAAAACAAGAATGAAATAACTCTCAAGTCGTCAACATCCGCCTTTATGAATGATCGCGATCTGATTCTCGACTCACCTCGGCATACGCCTCCCAGACGGCCTTTTCCGACCGGACCAACGCCTCCTCCCTCTTCTCCCCGACCCCAAGGGACAACTCCCTGATCTCCTCCCTCAACCCGTCCACCTCGGCGACCCCGGCGCTCCCGCCCTTTTTCGCGAAACGCTTCTCCATCTCGTTCAATCGGACTTGACGGTCGTTGATCTGTTGTTCAACTTCCCTCAACGCCTTGAGCGGGGCGCGGGCTTCGAGCAGACGGGTGGAGAGGATCTTTTGCGCAGAGGAGAGCTGGGTCGTTAGGTTCAACAAGGTCAAGGTGGGAGGGGCTATGTACAAGGCACGTGCCTTCAAGGTCAGTTTGTTTTCCCCGTGTATAGTAGACCTCCGAGTCATTCGAATATCAACTCGGTACTCACCATCATAAAGACTCCCCGCACCGCCTACGACCCCACCCTCGACGTGTCCCTCCACGCCAGCCCCATCTCCAGCGGGCAACGAACCGACCCAAGCGTCCATCTCTTTCCCCAACATGGACGTGTCCCTGGAGAGCGTCTCGTAATCCAAAGCGACACCCTACAGATCATAACAACGAACAGCACAGAATCGGAGTATCCGCGAAGGTTTGGTCAGATGCTTTTTTCTTTCTTTCCCTTCACTACATCATGACCTACCTTGTGCGCGGTGATCCCGATCTGCAATCCTTTCAGAACAGGGCCCGTCGACCCGGTCACATAATGATGTTGCAAAGTTCTGAGCTGGTGGTTAAGTTGAGCTATTTGAGGGTTCTGGCTGCTCAAGGCGAACGCGATACAGCGAGGTTGATGATCAGCATGCATATTGATCAGTGGGTGGAAGATGATCAGATCGGCGAGGAGACCAACCTCAATTGACCCAATTGAGCCGACAAGCCAGGTTTCCCGGTAGTGCCCGAACTAGTACCAGCAGTAGCAGTAGGGCTGGTCCCGGTAGCGTGATGTCCATCGACGGGATGTTGAGCGTCACCTTGACGGTTCAAGAGACCGGAGGCCTGGGCCTTTTCTTGTACTTTGGATAATAAGCCTTGCATGTGTGATTGTGTTTGTAATTTGGTATTTGTGAAGAGTGATCTAGTCGAGTAGGTTGGTGACGATGTGAAGTGATTCTGCTCGCAGTCGCGATTGTGTGGGTTATATACCTTTGGCCTTTGGTTGATCATGCAAAGGGCTGTGTCGCTCTCAACCTCGGGGTGAGTCGCCCTTGTCCTCGTCCACAAGCTCGCGCCGGTCACGCCCGAGCACGGAATAACGTCATGTTCCATGGGTGACGTCAGCATGACGCGCTTGGCATGGCGACGAACAAGTGCTCAAAGGAAGGTTCGGGTCGCTGGGATTTGGGGTTTTAAGGCGACTTTTGGCCTTTTGGGGCCCGCTGTACCGCTGTAGGCTTGCAACGATTCGGGGTTGTCGTGGGTTTGTACGTAGGGCGAAAGTGTATTGGCGATGTAGCACCGTCACAAGGTGTATCGCACAACTGGCACTGGTAGCATTCATCCGCACCCGTCGACGCGAATTGCGAGTTTCAGGCTCGTCGCGCTAAACTCTGTGGCTCATCAATCTCTTTGGCTACTCACGACGATCAACGACTCGCGACTCGATTGATGCGATCAAACTCGACAAATCATACCCCGGAGATCCCCCGGAGTACATGCTTTATCAGGTCATGAAACAGGATGCAGGATGACGTGTCAAATCCTGATCACCATACAAGATGATCCACAGGGATCTTGTATAGATCTGCCGTTCAGTTTGCATCCGCAACCGTTGGGTCCATGGGGCGCATGGAACAACTATAAAAGTCGAACCGATCAAGGATCAAGGTCAGCTCCAAACAAGTCTCACTTCGTTATCTACTGTACCACTGTACACTGTGCCACATCATCCTTCGTTCTCGTTCACATCCAGCCCAAGCTACCATCAACTAGTGGCAAGTAGAGTCTCAGCAGTAGAGCATCCTCCGCCGCGTACCCCTCTCCCTCCTTTTCGAAACTCAAAAGGTCCTTTCAGGGGCCACCAACCGACCGAAAAAACAACAATACAAATAACAAATACAACAACGATCGTACACGACCTACAACCTGTTCAAGATATCTTAGTGGCGCGAACCAATCGATAAAGAGACATACGAGAAGATCGAGCAACGAGCCGTCCGTGGCAGAGTCGTTTTTTGACATCAAGGTGCTGTACGGGATCGCTCCGACACACGGTACGTCGTGGCGTGACTCGGTCAGGGAAAGGGCTATCTCGATCCTGACGCGGACTTACAGACGGACAGAGACACAGAGGCGTCGTGCCCATCGCCATCAAACTGTCTTGCAACCCCGCTTGTCATAAACAGATCGATACTCTACGGATCGCGAGCGACAGCATTGATAAGGAGACCAACCATCAGGGTCCTTGACTATACGGTACTTATGTGCTTGGCCTAAACGTGTAGATTGATTGAAAAAGGAGCTACTGCTCATAAAGACCAACCTATCACACGGTATACAGACACCGCCATTTAAGGTGCAGTCCTCGTCTCTCCAATATCTGGCTCTCCGCACATCATGGGCAAAGCACCCTCTCGAAAATCGACCGACGCGTCCAAGGTCGGTGAGTCCAGCGGACTGTAGATCTTTCGATCACTCAATCTCGACAGATTATACATCCTGATCTGGCTGACCCTCTACCTCTCCCCTCGAATGATCCCGTCGTGACCAGCCGGGAAACCGGCGCCGGTGCTCAGCCTAGTCTCATGGCGGCCTCTCTACCCGCACACTCGCCGAGGGTTCGCTTCGTACGATAAGGAGAAGAAGAGCTGGTGGATCAAAGCCATCGAATGGGTCAGAAACAACCATTCCTCGCCCGCTGTGCTAGCTGCGCTGCCGGGCTTGGAATACGGCAATCGTATATCCGCGATCTTGAAGTTGGAGAAATACTTGGTGCAATTTGCCCTGTACAAACTCCGATATCCCATATGTCCAGGGGAATTGCAGTTGGAAGCCGACACTGGGCCGGCGGATCTGTGCAAAGTCTGTTGGAGACGCCATCTTGCATCGGAAGCCTTCAGTCGACATCAGAATGTATGGACGCTGGATACCATGGAACTGGCCATGAGGAAGAAGTGGCACGAAGGCCTGGAAAGAAAGGTCAAGCAGCCTTTGATCGACGAGCACAGAGAGGTGGATCTGGCGAGGTTGACAGATAGGAGGCAACTGGCGAGGTTGTTACATGTAGACGACACTGCTGACCAGGAGTTGAGGGAGAATGGGGCGGGCGTCTATCTTGGACAATGGTTCTATCAGCAGCTCAAAATCGCGCAGCAGAATCAACAGCAAACGGGCATGATCATGCCTATGCCCAGCTCGGTTGCCATGCCGATCGCAATCTCCACTCCGATCCCCACAGCAAGCACGATGTCAAATTCGCACTCGGCCCCGGCGCTGTCTCGAGTGTGGACCCCAATCTCGATCGCTATGCCAGACGTGACCACAGCCGCAGCGTCGACGTCGGCTTCCACCGCGAAGCCTTCGGTCCTCTCGCAAAGTCCCAAGCTGGCCTCGACCTTGACTTGCGGTCTTTCTCCAAACACACCCCTGACCTCGACGCCAATCGGCAGTCCTACCCGGCCAGTGGCTTCGAGACCAAAGCCTCCTGCAGGTATTCCGAAGATGCCTGCGGCGATGTTACACACCAGTAGAGGTCTAGCTCACGACGACAACCCCAACTTAATCGTCGCCGCTGGACCGTCCCGCTACTCGTACAAGCCGTCGACGCCTCAGCTAGACCCGGTCGAAAAGGCGCTCTCGAGCTTGACAGCATCGTACAAAAAACGTGACGAGTCGAGCCTGACTGCATCGTCCGACATGCGGATGGAGGCGCCGTCAGGGACTCCTCCTCCGACCCCGCCCGCGATGGATGTCACCACTCGACCGGACGAGACGCTGATTGATCCAAGCCTGATCGCAGTGAGAGGGGGAAACCTCTCGATCAAGCCGGAAAAGCCTGCCTCCGCGACTCCCTCGAAGCGAGTACCGGACGATCCTCGAGCATTCGAGAAGAAGAACCGGGTCGTCCCCATGCATACTACCACTGGCGGAAAGTCGCTCGGTCTGCTTGAGATGTACACTGACGACGATGCGGAGGAAGCGGATGATCGCGGCGGGAGTGATGACCCGATGCAAGAAGATGATGCCGACGAGGCAGAGATCAGGGAAGCTTCGGACGACATTCGAGCTATGACCGTGGACAGAGAGGATGCGGTGATCCCTGTGGTAACCCCTGCGCCACTTCCCCCGGCATTGGATGCGCTCGCCATGTCTGAAGGAGTGACGGGAACCGAGGCCATGCAGCTCGTGATGAACTTCATTGCCGATAGCCAAAAGTGTGAGGCAGAGGTGAGGCATGTGAAGACCCAGTACGAAGATGACAAGACGATCTGGAGCGAAAAAGAGAAAGAGTACAGGGATCTGAATAAGAAGATGGAAGCCGAGAACAAGCGGCTTCGTAGGGAGAGAAACAGCGCGAGAGACGACTGGAAAGTCTGTGAAGCGGACAGGGTTCGTTTCAAGAACAAGCTTGAGCATGCAGTAGCGGATAAGACGGACCTGGAGGAGCAGGTTCGAGGGCTACAAGGGAAATTGGCCGCGCTGGCTTGATAGACAAGACAGACAGATACAGACGAGTGTGACCGGTTCGAGAACGAATCGAGAAACAGTTGTATACCCCCCGACGCCAGTTAGTGCGATACGAATTTTACGGCCTGAAATTACGAGTAAACTTCCTTGACGAATAACACGAGTCGCGCCAAGTTGACGAGATATATATATATATGATATGTGGAGTGGCGAGATGTCGATACAAATCCATGTCGATCGTTACAATATGCGCATTCAGCGGGACCATCGCATTTGAGCGACTTGAGTTTCCTTCTACTCGTCGTCTTCATCGTCGTCATCCGACTCGTCGGCCTCTTCCAACCACTGGATCGCAAAAGAACACCCTCGTCAGTCTCAATTACGGCCAAAGGACACGTGCACTTGGTGAACGTACCTTCAAGAACGGTTCCGCCGATTTCCTGACCTTTTTGCTGGTCTCCTTGTCGACGTACTTTTTGCTGACATGAGTGCCCCAGGTGGTAATGACCTCTTCTTCGAGCACGTCGGCTTGGTACAACGCCATGAGGATCTTGGGCAGTTGAGGGATCAACTCCGGGTGATCGTTTCCAAAGTACTTTTCGATCCCGCCGAGCAACGACTTTTGAGCCTTTTCGTTAGTGGTCATCTGTTCGCGCGACATGTGCAAGCACGATCAGCCGCGATTCCGATAAGCGATAACGCGCGCGTCAACGCAGGACTCACAACCCCCAAGATCTTAACCCGCTTCTCGACGTCCTTGACGAGATCGTCCCTCCAAAGCTTCTGCCCCAGCTCGATGCAAGCCTTGTGTTTCCCCCAAACTTCCATCTCCTTGGCCTTGGCGGCGATTTCGGCATCGGTCGCATCCTCCTTGTTCTCCTCGATCCAAGCTCCAAAGGCAGTATACTTGGTGTCACCCGCACCCTCGCCATCATCGTCCTCGTCCCCGAGACCGCCGGCGAAACCATCCACATTGACGGCTAGATTCTTCATACGGGCAGCGACGGCTTCCGCAGAAGTATCGACGGCCCAGTCGTCGTCGGTGAGTTTCCGGTTGGCCACCGCCGGGTTATTGAACCCCTTGGCCACATCGTCGTCGTCCTCCTCGGCCGCCGCGCCATTGCCGTTGGCCGGACTAGCAGTCCCACCTCCGATGGTGGGCAAGTTGGTCCCCGCCAACTGTGCCTCCCTCAACTCCTCGGCCTCGGCGTATTTGTCCTTCTTGGGCGCACCGGCATCGGCGGCTCCCTTGGACCCCTTCTTTCCCTTTTTCCCCGTAGATCCCGCAGGAGGGTTCTTCAAGATGTACGTCGTCAACTTGTGCCTCATGTCCAGCATCGTCTGCGCTCCACAAGCTTTGCAATCCCGAGTGATCTCTTCTTTCTTTTCGTTGACGAGGAGGACGGTCTCGGGGTTCTTGCACGAGGGGCAGAGGACGAATTTCTCGATAAACACGTCGAGGAGTTCTCGGAGACGGTCGGCTTGATGGGCTCCGTTGACGATGTATCGGTCGTTGGCCATGGTAGTTTGGGCACCGAGTTCGATCCCGAAGAACTTGGTCGGGTCTGCAACAGAAGCCGGGGGAGTGTCAGCTAATTTTGTGCGTTGACGCGCTTTCGATTCGACGCTCAACTCACAGGTAGGCAACCGACTCAACGCCTTGGCGACCTCGTCCATGTTGGGAATGACCGTCTTGATCCCGTTACCTCGTCCTTCGATCTTGGTCGTCATGACGGGCATCCTGAGAAGTACGAGTCGGAGCGCGAAATAAAGTCGAAGCCGACGGTATCAGCCGATCTGGTCTCCTGCCAAGTTCGGTCTACATTCTGATTTTCGAAGACTCACTTGTAACGCTATTACTCCCAAAACCGCGTATGATTGTGTCAACCCAGATCGAAGGTTTGCGAGTTATGACCATCCAGGAGTATTGTGTTCCGTAGAGGATCCAAATCCGAGGTCAAGGTTGAGAGGAAGAATGGAGGGAAGAAGAAAAGACGATGACCCGATGGCCATGCCACATAGAGAAACAGATCGAGAAAGAAACGAAAAGCGAATTTAGCGATCCGGTCCAGGCCTCGGCGGTCGATAACGAAGGATAGTTAACAAGACGCTCACGTAAAACTTGTCGTCCACATCTCGTCGAATGTTTACGGTAGCCATGATTGCAGGTAACTAGGTTCTTTCCTTTTTTTTTCTTTATCGCAACTACTCGGTTTGATAGTTTGCGACAAGAAAAAAGTGCTTGGTAGGTTTGGTTTTTAAACTGGATGATTGTGTTCTCTGTTTTTTATCCGCTAAGTCGACGGTCTATATCGGGTCCCGTATTCCGAAAACTATGATTCCTACGATGCTGAAGAGGTGATATGGTGGTGATGATGACGGTCGTTCGGGTGGACGAAATAGGCATGAAAGGTCTACAGTCGATCGGTTTGTGTTTCTCGTTTATTTGTCAAGAGAGGCGGTCGAGGTGGGGCGGCCGGGGTTCTTTTGCTGTGCGTCGGGAAGTTCGACGAGTGCGTTTGAGAGATTGCAGGCTTAGCTTGTCTTGGTGATAGCTTGGTACGTCTCTTTTCCATTGATACCTTGTCGATTGTAAACTTGTTGAATCATCGATTGTTCGATCGTAGTCACTGGGCCCACACAAAGGGAGACGCTGGGGGAAGGAAGACGCGTGAGAAAGCGCGAGAGATGGTCACAGCCTGTTGCGCTTCTAGTTGGCACATCAACGAAATCACCTTGTCCAGCCCTTAAGCGCATCTCCCCGCTCATCGAGCTACAAAGGTTTTGGGAAGAACAACGACTTCCTATCATATATTCTTCTTCTTACCTTGATGGTACGACATTCGAGCAACACACCCTGGATACAACGTGGTAGCATCTACTTGGACCAAAAACATTGGAAACGTAAAACCAGCGCCGGTAAAACATTCGACATTCCGGTGAACGGGGCATCCGGACTGCTCTGAGACTTTCGGTACACACTGGCTCGTCAGCTTGTCACCTTGGTCCTTCGCCATCTACCCGTATACGTTCGCCGTTCGTTCGTTCGTATACGGGAGAGGGAGGAAGATCGATGTAGACGAGTCTGATGAGCACGAACTATCGGACCAGTCCCGATGCCCGCCTCTTCCCGGTTTGGTCGATGCCGAATCGAGCCTGGTCGTCTCTGTGTCGCGATCCAAGGTGATCGCAGCCGCGTTGATCCAGGTGTCGTTCTCGAATGTCTTCTTCCCCCTCTCCCCGACTTATCCATCCTTTCCCCTCCCCCAACTCTTTTCCCCCTCACACATCGTAAATTCGAAGGAAGAGGAAGGAAGAGGCTAGGAAAGAGAAACGAACGAAACGTCGAACCCCGACTCTCATAATGATGAGATTTATCAACACATAGAGTCAAGCTCGTATTGTCCCGGCCGTCCTCCACCCACCCACCATCGTGTGCAGAGTGGGCAGAGGGCGAGCAGAGGTTGTCGAGGGTTGGTCTTACCAAAAGTCTGCTGAGACGAGTCGGGGTCGATGAATTCGTTTTTTGCTACTAGTTTAGTTTACGGGTAGCTGGATTGATCGTGTATGTTCGTATGCTTGCTATGATTATACCATCTATCTGTCTGTCTACTATGCTCTTGCTTTGCTACACTGCCGATACGCTCCGCTGCATATTCCTTCAGAACGGCGCTTCCTTCCCCTTCAAATCCTTGTGCGTATACGTCTTTCCCTTGCCCGCCGCAAAGTCCCCGACGACGCTCCCATCCTTTTCGTTGCTCTTCAACACCCACTTGTAGATGCACAACCCTTCCAACCCGACAGGGCCCCTGGCGTGCGTCTTGCCCGTCGAGATGCCCACCTCGGTACCCAGGCCGAAACGTTGTCCGTCGGCAAACCTCGTCGAGGCGTTGATGAACACGTCGGCGGAGGAGACTCCCCGGACAAAGTAAGACGAGTGAGCGTCCGAGGTGGTCAAGATCGAGTCGGTGTGATGGGAAGAGTGTTGGTTGATGTGGTCCACCGCGGCCCGGACGTCGGGGACGGACTTGACAGAGAGTTCCAGGTCGAGGTGTTCGGTATCGAAGGCATCTGGGCCGGCCTGTTTGACGAGCGGGTTCGATCGTGTGGACTCGGGGAGGGAAGAATAGGTAGAAGGATCCAGGTGGAGGACGATCTTGGAGTCGAGGAGGGATTCGGCCAGGCGCGGCCAGAGTGATTTGAGATGGGTTTCGTGCAGCAACAGCGTCTCCAAAGCGTTACATGCTGCCGGGTAGTCGAGCTGCACCAGATTCTATCAGTTGTCTGTCTGAGAAGCGCATGACCTTTGAGACGGGACTCACCTTGCTATCAAGCACGACCCTCTCGACCATCCCTTCGTCCACCTCGTCGTCGACGTAGATCGCACAGATCCCATCCGCATGCCCCATCACTGGAATCTTGGTCTGATCCTTGACGCTCTGTACCAACGCCTTGCCTCCTCTCGGCATGACCAAGTCGATGTACCTCTCCTGCGCCAACAAGGACGAGATCTCGCTCCTCGTCGCGACCGACTGGATCGAGGTCGAGGGGAACTCGGTCTTGCCGAGGGCTCGTTGAATGAGCTCGTTGAGCAGCGTGGCGGTATGCACGGATTCTTTGCCTCCCTTCAGAATGGCAGCGTTCCCGGATTTGATAGCCAATGCGGCGATATTGACGACGACTTCGGGTCGAGCTTCAAAGATGACCAAAAGGACGCCGATGGGGCAGGTGACTCGGTAGAGCTCGAGACCTGGTGATAGCTCCTTGGAGTACGTCGTCTTGCCTGTCGGCAAGGGAAGGGCAACGACTTCGTCTATCCCGGAGAGCATTGCTTCAAATTTGCCCGGACGAGAGAGGGACAGTCGGGAGACGAGCGAGGAGGATAGGTGTCCGGATTCCACCAGAGGTCTTGCGGCCTGTCATGCATGGACATCACGGAACTGCATCAGTCAATCGTTCCTCTGTTTCATACCAACATCTGACCACGGAGCTCACCTCCATATCCTTCTCGTTGGCGGCCAAGATCTCATCCTTGTTCTCCTTCAATACGTCCTTGATCGAACGCAATGCGTCGTTGCGTTTCTCGGGGTCGACGAGTTGAGAGGCTTCGAACGCTTCCCGTGCCGCTCGGGCGATGGTCTCGGCCGGTGATGAGGTGGACGAGGATGACGACATGTTGAGAGTGTGAAGAACTGGTCCGACGATAGAAGGCGAGAAAGGTAGTCGATAGTGGCTAGTAGCTTGAAGAGATGTAATAGTTCAAGCAGGTTCGGGTCAGGCCAGGCTAGGGTGACTCGAGGCCCCGGCGCACGCGAGGGGAATTGATGGTGTATGTTGAGGTATGGACGTCGATCACCTGTACTCTTCCTACACCATTCAAACCAGATCACACATACCGACCGACAAGAATAGTGCTCAGACTAGCTGTCGAGCTGCTTAGAACTTTCCGCACATAACAGTTGAAAAAGACAAGCGAAATACCTTCAGGATGGCTAAGAAAGCGTCCTCCTCGTCTTCGGTCCTTCAACAACCTTTGACCGCCAACAACCTCTCTTCGCAAAGTACATCGACCATCGCACACGTACAAGAGATGAAGGAGTTCCCAAGCCTTGAAGGCCGGCCGTTACCTACTGTCCATGTGAATAATGCGAGCTTGGGGGAGATCAAATTGGCACTGGACGAGGCCGTGAAAAAGGTGCGTTACCTCATCCATATCCTTTACCCTTTCATGCATCAGAATAATATACTGACATCGACCTTGTTCACCACATATTTCCGACCCGCTTTGTGCTTTGAAAACCGGCCACACAGATTATATCCACGGAACACCAGTTCACGCAATCACACACGCATACCGACGTCCGACTAGCTCTCGGCTGGACGTCAGTGTTGATCGCAGCGGGTACGATGGGATACGGCTACAAGTTTGGGTTCGAGCAGACGAAGGGGATGACCATGTTGGGCGTCTTTTGGTGAGCAGCTTGATGTGGGGACTCTTCTGCTGTGCCTCGGGAGTATGAAGCTGATGTGGTGGAATGGATCTGCGTTGATGGGGTTACCAGCTATGCGGTCTTGGCCGTCATGCAGGTTGCGTATGGGTACTACGTCGAGGGACAGAAGATCTACGTAGGCAAGCGTAAGAGCCTTTCCAAACGAGTGAGTTCATCATGTCTTCCTCGTCGTACGCAAAGCTCGTTAGCTGATCTATACCTGATCCCTGTCCGCACAAAGATCGAGACCGAGACCTTGCAGGTGACGTCCACCAACCTCCCCTCCGCCTCCTCCCGTCAAAGTTCCACCTACACCCCTCCCCGATATTCCCTCACCCTACTCTACCGCCGATCGACCAACGCCAACAAGTCCTTGCTGAGACTGACTACCGAGTCGTCTGCCGTGGACATTGGCAAGCTGGTAGACGAGGACGGTGGGATCGAGGAGGAGAGGGTCAAGGATTGGGTAGGAGCGGTCATGAGCAAAGCTGTGGGTAACGGAGGAGCTGGAGTGGAGGAAGAGGATGGGAAGCGGAAGTAAGGTGGAGAGAGAGCGGTTTTGTTGCGGTTGGGCTGTTCGTCGGGGATGGTTTCGTATTTTTTGGGACATTTCATCTCACCCAGATGATAACGATCGAGTAATGACTCAAGAGGATTCACGAGATGAGAGTGACTCAATCCGGGTGCTGCCCCTGGACCAAGAGTAGACATCTATATGCCTCATATATCCGAGTGACGACCCCCAACTCATTCCACCCTGTTTTTCCGGTCCTCATCTGCTGCCACAACTCCCCGTTCCCAAGCTCACTTCGCCGGAGCAGCCCCCTTCTTCTGAGGTTCTTCCCCGGTCATCATAGCAAACACCATCATACCCGCAAAGAGGTAGATCCAGTATTTCTGGAAGAACGTCTTCTCCTTGACTGCCGGTGCTTGGGGTTTACCGGTTTGTGGGTCGAGCGGTGGGGAGTGGGAGTTGGGGGATGAGGGCCCAGAGTAAAGGTTGGGGGCGATTCTGTACAGGATAACAAGGAGGGACCGGTATTGAAAAGAGCGATCAGTCTGCGATCTAATGACAGTAACGTAGGGAGTAGGCTAGATCGGGCTTACGGAACGAGCACCTCAGGCTGGACAAGCTCGATCTGAAGCTCGGATTTGGGTAGTCGATCGGACGTGATAGGTCCTCGACATCGACCGTCCTTAGGGATGCCTTTTGAGTTGGCGAGTGATAGGTGAATGGATTTCGGGGTCTGTGATGCGGTTCCGTCTAGCCTGACGGAGAGGGTCAGGTTGGGACTGAATTGAAGGTGACACTGTGGGTCGCGATGAGTAGTCTTGTTAGCTAGCAGGAAAGTGTCGTAAACGTATTCGCAGACTTACCAGTCTGACGCTGCTCATTCCAAACCGAGGGTTGGATACATTATCGTCCTCCCCTTCCGAACCCAAAGCTACCTGGTACCAAGCGTCCTCCTTCGAGTCCTTCGAACTCATTTCCTCCCCGACCTCTGCCTTCCATCCTGATGTGCCGTCAGAAGCAATCAAAACTTCCCCTCGTTTTGCCCATGGTGATGCTTCAGCGATAGGGTTATAAATCCGGTGATACAGGGTATATGTTGATCTGGATGCCGGTGTCGAGAAATGAGCTTCGGCTACCGGTTCCTCGTTTGACAAGGCCAGTACCGCGGGAAGAAGCAGTAGCGACCACAGGGGTCTGCGTAGATTGACCATGACGATGACCTTGAAGCGGATACTATAGATATAACGACAGTTATCGAGGTCGAGTTCGAGTTGATGGTGAGCAATTGCCTATACTTGCTTCTATCATGGTCAGCTCGCGGCCTGGGCCTCATCGGCTCATCGGAAGCAAATTGCTTGATGAGCGCATCCTGTGCGATGGTGTTGCAGCGTGAAACACGAACCCATTCACTCTGTAGACTCACACTCGCCGATATGTCAAGCGATCAGAGGTGCCATAGTATGCTCATTCCCGCCAGCGGAGAGCGGGCGCAGGATCACGATCTGGCCTGATTCGTGATCTGGGTATAAGGACACAAGCAGCAAGCAGCGCTTAAAAACCAGGCAGTCGGCTTGTATCTGGGTTCGGATGATATGGGAAGAAATGACTTGTGGGGCATACAGGATAACTGGAGAATGATGTGGAGGACTCAGTTCTGATACTTTGGCATCTCAAGGGCTACAGATTTCCCATATACGGTGCGCGGCGCGGTCGCACAACAACAATGATGTGACATGCTGCTCAAGCGCAAGACCTTGACGTGGGTCGCGCTGTGTCCTCGAGCCAATAACCATGGAGAAGGTCTAAATATCACCACAGTGTACCTACGACACGCTCCGCAGAGACCTGGTATGATAAGAGTGCCAAAGGCGCACACGCTTGAATACCGTAAAGGGTCCTGTTTCAGATCCCCGTCGGTCCAAGCTTGCATTGTGTAAAGCTTCTTGCGTCCGGACTGGATCGCGTGAGTAGAAGAAGATTCGTTCGAGGGCTGATTCGTGCTTTCTTAAACAATGCTCTTTTTTGCGCTCTCGTCGATCACCGACACCCCAACAAATTATTCGGATACATACTCTCTCCTTCTTCTCTTTTCTTGTCTACCTCTGTGTCTTGGCAGAAGCTATATCACAAGCATGAACAACTATCCAGAAGCGAATCCCCAGCCAGAGGAACCTGCTATTAATGTACAAATGTTGCTTCTCTGCGTGTTCAACTTCTACCTCCGCTCGCGGAGGAATTCAAGGATGGCAGGGTCAAAGCAAAGCAGAGGAGGTTCTTGAGCCTAATGGATAAGGGCCTGGAGCAGCCGGTAATCCGAAGCATGATTCGGAAGCAGGAGCAGAGGAAAGTCAAAGGCGCCGCCAAAAGCACGCGCAGCCAGACGAAGGGCCCCCCGGGCGATGAATAGTTTAGCTCGTATCGAGCAAAGGTCACCAGGATCATCAACTCTTAATCGAATTGACAGATATCCTCAGTCGCTGCAACCCCTTTTCTTCGCCCAGGTGGTGCTTGCTTTTCGTGCATGCAGAAATCGTAATATCCCCTTCAGGATGAAAAAAGCAGTATAAAGCCGTCTCTGCCCGTACTTATACTCTGCTTGGCGGTCATCGTTCGTCGAGGGTATGATCATCTAGCTTGCATTACAACCACGTTCCGGGCTACACGACATTTCATCCACCACTGATCCTTGTTTCGATGTCTATTTCTATGCAATCCCATAAGCCCAACCCCAAGAACCATTTGACGCTCTCCCAGACCCCTTCGCGTTCTCTCGCCTCAATCTCCCTCGTCTCGGTTGGCGCATCGCCTCTTCCTGCGGGGTCAACTAAAAATTCTCGACCGTTCACCGTTCGTCCCGTATCCTCACTGATAGCCTCGGCGCGGCGTCTACGTAGAGACATCTGTGATGTCTTGCGTTCGATCCTGGCTTCAGCAGGGATTGGAAGGTCGATGATCTCATCCGGGTCCGTAGAGGCTTCGTCGTCGGATTCGTTCGAGGAACCATGGTGGTCTGAGGATGTTTCCGAGTCTAGGGGCTCATCTTCGTCCTCTTCGTTGTCGCTCTCAAGATGTCGACGAGTAACTCCTCCTACCTCCGCCCGCGGCCTGGATTGCGGTCCCGGTCCTGGGGCCAACAACCCATCTGCGCTCGTCCCGTAAGATCTCGGTTGATCCAGGAAGACGTCGCTCTCCTCGAACCTGATCGAGGTCGCGCGTTGTCTGTTCCGCGCTTGGTCGGCGGTAAAGGAGAGGTGATGACCTTCGCGTGTTGCAAAGTGCAGGGAGAGGGCGTATGCGATCTATGGAGAGGAAGGGGAAGAAAGTTGATTTAGTAGACAGGCCACGGGGGATCGACGGAAGGCGGACATACGTATTCGAGTGATGCGAATACCATTTGCTATGCCCAACCCGCGCAAGGTCTCATCAGTCCAGCTTTCCAGATCTGATTCGACGGACAGCATAATTTACTTACCAAGACCAAATAGATTATCTTCCCCTTTCCCATTCCATCGTTCCCTACCCCCTCTTCTTCGTGCCAGCCGCGATACAACACGCTGAGATTGACCTCCCACAAGACCCCCAACCCCGTCACCGTGAACAATACTGTCGTCCACATTTTCCCCCTCGCCGACCAATTCTTCCGGAGAGATAAGAGCAGGATCGAAGCAGCTCTGAAGAAGCCGAAGATGAGGAGGGGAAGGAGGATGCTTCTATGGCCGGAACTTGATGGTATAGTGTTGCTGGGGTTGTTGAGAAAGAAGAGAAAGAGGAATATCTCGTTGACCAGTGCATCCGAGATCGCAACGAGGATCAACAGGACGGGCCTTTTGACCCTATTCCCGATCCTCGCTATAGCCAGAGGGATGCGAGGCGTCGGGGAATCCGCCGGTCTCGTATTTTCCCTTTCAACTTCCCGCTCAGCCTCATTGATATTCTCACTCGAGGGCGACAAGGCTGATGTATGTGGATCTGGGCCTGTGGAAATGAGGGTGAACCCCTCGTCCGGCTCCATCTCCGAACACCTCGGTCGCAGGCGATCGTCGCCGAGAGACATGCTCAAGCACGATACTTCGAGGACCTCACTCTAATGAGTGCGGATAATGTAGCTTCATGAGCTGATGACGTTGTTGCTGGTCCAAGGTTGTCACTAATCACGAAAGACGAGAGTGCTAGGTCAATAAGATGATCAAAACGATCAAAACACGACCAAGTGCGAAATGCGAGTGATCGCTCATTTGCTTCCGCAAATCTACTTCCGACGACTTCGGCACTGCCATTAATCGATCTACAGCAAGTCATCCTAGTAAGCTAGTACAAAAGCATACAAACATTCGCAATTCAAAAACAAAGCCTGCTCCCGAAGCAGCGTACGACCACCGGGCTATCAGATGGCACCGAATTTCTCGGCCTTGGCTTGATCTTCCTGCTCGTTCTTTGGGATCCCGAGGATGTGAGGGGTGATCTTGGCGTTCATCGTCCGGAGAGCCTGTTAAGAATAACGGGGTCGGAACGATGGCCCTTAGCATAAGCTCATAATTGTATACTACGAGGTTAAGGAAACGCAACGGGTTCTCACCTTGATGATACTGTTCTCCGAGATCTGATCCACCGGCCTATCCTGAATCCTTACGATCCTCCCACCCTCTTCCTCCGGGTTGGCAAAAATGATGATCGTACTGTTCATCTCTACCTGGTTCCCCAGAGGTTTGAAGACAAATCGATGCTGAATATCCATGTCGATCTGGTACATCTTGGGGTAGGTCGAGGTCGGGATCGGGTGGGTAGACGAGGAGGAAGTTTCGGTTGGTGGGGTGTGCAGCTGAGTTACCTGATGCGAGATGGTCGAGGATGATTGGCAGACTACGGGGAGGCCTAGGAATTGACCGGCTACGAAGTATGCCGATATGACATTCTTTAAGCGATCATTTAACTACCGCTTGCTGAAATCCGGCGACTCACCGACCTCCTTCCTCCCCTTAGTCGTAGCAAACAGGTCCTCATACACCGCATCCTCTGTCAACCAATCTTCCAGTTTAGCCATCGTCCCCTTTGCCTGGAACAGATCGAGAACGACCCCAACCTGCTTCTTTTGCAGCGTGGAGAGCTGGATGGACGGGGCGACGTTGATGGTCTCGGGGAGGTTGGTGATGTCGTGGATCGACGGGTTGGAAGGTGGGTAGTCGGACATGGCTGCAGATAGATTTATGGGTGGTTGATAGGTGCTGCGTATGTTTCGATGACGAGTCAAAGGCGGTATCAAGGTGTGCAAGGTAGACGATGTTCGATCTTGTCCCTCGATGATCACGACGGAGCATGCGTTCGCTGCTGTTTACAAAGTGGGGATCGAGAGAGATCCATGGATGGATACGTCATCACCCTCCCCCCCTCCCCCTTCTTATCAATGATAGCACAAATAGCAGTGTGACGTGTCAGTTATCGATCTTTTATTCAACCTCGATCCTGATCTTCGGTCATCATCCACCTTGTATTTGTCGCAGAAGTTCAGCGATCAGCGAGAACCCTCTTGCTTATGATCGTCCACATCCATTGCCGTCATCTGATCTTCTAGCAAGACTGTAAGCTCTGAAACTCCGGTCATTCACCAGCTTGACCTCTTGCGAGCAGGATGTCAAACCTCCACCTGAACCGCCGGAAACCCATCCGACTCCCCTTCTCGACGAAATTGAAATCCACCCACTTGAATCAGGTCGAACAGACGGATTGCGGCATGTCAGTAAGCCCGTCGTCTCACAGTGCTCTATCTTCCCAGCTTCCACTGAAGAGAATTCGGACCTCTCCTTGTTTGGGCTGGCGTTGCTCTTGAGTAGATGTCGAGAGAAGAAGAGCAAATACGTCTGTCCGAGATGTAACATATTTTACTGTTCACTCGACTGTTTCCGATCGCCCGTGAGTGTCTCGTCCATGATGCCTCCATCAACGCTACATCTTCGTCTTATCGATCTTCGACATACAATTTCCATTTGACAGCAACACGTTCAGTGTTCAGAACCGTTCTACGCAGCTTCTATCCGGGAATCCATCGCCCAGAATCCTTCCAGCACAGATGAGGAGAAGAAGGGGATGTTCACGATCCTCGAGAGGTTCGAACGGGGCGCGGATGGCGACTCTGATCAGGGTCTCGATGAAATAGGAGGAGACGAAGGAAGAGGCCAGGAGGGAGGGAACGGGATCGGAGCGAGCAAGCTGGAAGATCTCTACCGAGGGTTGATCGCCTCAGAAACCGGCACAGATGGACAGGAGGGCAATGAAGAGGAAGATTCTGACAACGAGGAGGATGAGGAAGCCAGGGAAGAACTCGTACGCAAACTCGAGGGGGTCGATCTCGGTGAGCACCTCTCGCAACTTCTTCGTCCTTAAACCCCAGAGACTCAACGCTAACGCCTATTTACAACCCTCCGCTTTCCACCTTTACGACTTCGTCAGACTCGCTGGCTCCGCAGGACCTATTCGCCCTCCTCCCCGCAGCGCACCGGAAAAAGTTTGTCGGGGCTTTACAGTCGGAAAAAGGTCGGGCGAGGTTGGTACGGGATGCCGAGGCTGACGAAATGCACGAGGACGAGGATGACGAGCTTGGAGATTCCGACGAGGAGGTAGCGGCTGCGGGAGACGATTGGCAAGGATGGTGGGCCCCGACCGGAGTTGTTCTCCAGCTGGACGGAGACGAGGACGATGAAGATGAGCCTTTTGAGCAAGGCCAAGACGCTCTCAAAGATCGGGCCGCTGTCTCAGAGAAACCGAACATGCTGGACGAAGCGGTGTCAGGCAAGATCTCGATCCCGGAGACTGTCGTCATGGGTTTAAGATTCAATCTGATGGCAATCTGGTCAGTCCCTCTTCCCTTTTGTCACAGAAATTCGACAAGGACGTTCGTTAACGCATTTTTTCACGCAACCTGCAGTCTGGCCTACGTGATCACGATCAAGACCTTCATCCCTGGAACCGGGACGTTACAAAACCTCCTCTCGTCTTCCGATCTAAAAACTGGGAACACGAACGACCGAAAGGTCGAACGGATAAGAGCTTCTCTCAAGGGGACTGTCGGGTTCTTGTTCGACCCTCGGTCGACTTGGAAAGCTGGCGGGATGGCGGATGTGGAGGGGGAGATTTATGGGGGTATGGATATGGGCTCCGAGGTTAGTATTGAGAGATAAGAGTCGCGCCTGCGTAAACGAGATGTGGCTCAAGCAAGTTCCATGTTGTTCAGGGGACTGAATACCTGCAAGACCTGGTAGACCTTGTCCGGCCGCCCTTGGATGTGACGGAACCTCACCCGGTCCGATTGGTCATCTCCGACCTGTACTCACTGTTCTCCTCCGCTCATTCTTCGACTGAGAGTATCAGGGACAAACAAGTACTCAAGAAGCTTGAATTCTACTACGTGCTAGCGGGTCTGATCGGGAGGACGGGGTGGATGGAGCTGGAACGGGTAATCAGCGTCAGGATCGAGAGGTTGAGGGAGGCGCGAGGCGAAAGCATAGAAGAGGGAGAGGATGAGGAGAAGGAAAGGGAGGGCTTTATCGTCCAGGCTGAAGAGCCCGTAAGGAGGATAGGAGATCCGGTTGCGACAAGCAAGATTGTAGAGTTGTGAGGTGTGTGGACCTGCTATTCGATCACGTGATCCTTCCCGGTAGAATGATCGGCCCGTGATGCCCGTGATCCCCGGCCCGAGCCGTAGATGTTGAATCGAAACGAGCATCTCATCGAGGTTGCGGATTCGTAGCTATATCATCGTTTCAAGGGACTAGCAAATCAAAGTAGATCTACTCGATACCCATATGCTCGCCGGATCAGGCATCGTCACAAGAACATCTTTGCGAACTCTGAGTACTTCTGCCAGGATGTCAAGAGCAAAGATCGTCGTCTGTCGGGATATGGGCGAGAAGGCTATGGGTCTGTTGACCGCATCGGATCACGAGGTGAGGAATGCTGCTTGCCAATCAAGGTCCATTGTGATTGACCGATCTCAACAATTCCTTCTGGATATCATGGTATAGGTCGTTGTGTTCCCTGGATCGCCAGACCCACCGCCACGGAGCTGGGTCTTGGAGAATATCAAGGGAGCTGCTGGAATCTGCGTGATGATGGCGGACAAGGTGCGCTGGCTGAGCGAGTAGGCAATATCAGCTGAGTCGTGGCGATAGGAGCTGAGAATGGGGAATTTTTAGGCAAATCAAGAGTTACTGGATGCTGGTAAGCTATTCAATGCTCGTTTACGGATCAGAAGCTAGCGATCAGGATCTCATCTGTCCTCGCAACCAGCTGGACCCTCCCTCAAGGTTGTCTCCACCTTCAGCGTCGGTCACGGTAAGCGAGCAGCTCGACTGTCGTACCTGTATGCAATCAATCCGTACTGACACCCTTTCCCATGTTACCTGTATGCAATCAATCCGTACTGACACCCTTTCCCATGTTCTCTGGAATAAGACCACATCGACGTCAATGCTCTTCAAGCACGTGATGTCCGACTAGGGTATACTCCCGATGTTCTGAACGACGCTGGTAAGTCTTTCTCACCCGTCCCATTCAAATTCAAGTCCAAGAACTTGACAACATTTATGTCTTCGATATAGTGGCGGATCTGACGGTCATGCTAGCCTTGATGGCTATGCGTCGAGCGAAAGAAGGGATGGATATCGTCCATAAAAGCCAGGTACGAGCGTCTCTCTATCCTAGCTATCTTCACTATTCCGTGCGACCGAAGCTGATCACACTCCTGTCTATTCGCAGTGGCCTCAGACGCACTGGTCGCCGTTCCTTTTGACCGGTCCTTCCTTCTCCCGGCCCAAACTCACTCTCGGTTTCCTAGGTTTCGGCAGGATCTCTCATTCGGTTCTCAGCCGGTTCCTGTCATTCACCCTGCCTGCATCTCACCCGGACGCCCCGAAGGTCATCTACACCTCGTCTCACCGGAGACCTGAACAAGATTCGATAGACGCCGAGTATACAAAGCGGTTCGGGGTAGAGGTCAAATGGGTGGAGAAGGAGGAGTTGGCACGGGAGAGCGATGTGCTTATCGTTCTCTGCAACCTGAACGAGTCGACTAAGGGGATCGTAGGGAAGGAATTTTTAAGTAATATGAAGGAGACGGCGGTGCTGGTCAATACTGCTAGGGTGAGTCATAATCTGCAATTCGATACGCTGGTAATCATACTCCTGACTGCCCTCTTGCTTCGTCTTCGACTATATCGGCTGGATCTACTAGGGCGCCGTGGTCGACTCGCACGCCCTCGCAGAAGCACTTGACCAGGGCAAACTATTCGCCGCGGGAGTGGATGTCGTGGACGGAGAACCTAACGTCAAGGCGGATCACCCGTTAGTAAAACAACCTCGGTGTGTCGTGCTCCCACATGTTGGGAGCGCGACGTGGGATTCGAGAGAAGGGATGGCTTTGCTCTGTGAGTCGATTCGAGACTTCTAGTCCGATCGGACCGCGCCGGATCACTCATCGTTCGGGTATACTAGGCGCAAAGAATGTCTTAGCCGGAGTTCAGGGCGAAGAACTGCCGGCCGAACTGAAATGAATATTGATACTGAATATCCCATGAAACCGCATTATAAAGTAGCCGAGAACCCGAAAGGAATTCCGGACGAAACGACCTTCCCCGCAAAAGGTGTATGAAAAGAAATCGAAACCCGCCCATGATCGCCGTTCTTCTCCTGTGTCTCGCTCACTCGGCCAACTTGCTCGAACTCCTCGTCTTCCTGATAGTCTTCGTTGCCTTCTTGACCGGACTGACGATGGTGATCATATCCTGATCCGAATCATCCATTAAATCAGGGGTACTTGTTGGCATCCTGTTCCGCGATCGGGTGTTTGCAGCGGGAGAGGCGACCGGGACGGGCGCAAGGGCTGTCCTTGTGCGCTTGGCTGGGGTAGTCTGAGCAGCACGGGTTGATGGTGGTTCCACAGTGAAGACGGGGACCTGATCCGTTTTGACTGGGGTGTCGACGTTCTTTCTCGGTCGACCTCGACCCCTCTTGACCGGCGAGGACGCGTCGACCGGCACGGACTGCTCCTCGCTAGCTTGCACTTCCCGGTCCTCGACGTGTTCGGCCCCGACATCAGCCAACAACCGATCCTCCTCTTCGGCCAGATCGGCAGCGTGTCTCCCGAGCGCGTAGGTGATTTGCGAGCTGAGTTTGTACATGACCAGCAGAGGCAGGAGGAGCCAGATCCTGTGGAAATACGAAGGAGCACGGCGATGAGAACGAGACGGCGGGCGATAGAGAATCGTCATCGCCTAGGAACGGGAAGGAGTGCTTACCCCTATTTCGATGGGATCGCAAGAATATTCAAGGGGGACACAAGATAACGTCGAGGTGGTGTATTATAGGTAGGCGAATTATCAGTAAGCGATGCGAAGACGACGAGTCGAGTTTTGATCGAAAGGCACAAGCGAAGACTTTCGGTACTCACGTTAGGGATGATCCAGAATACCAACAAGTCGTACGGGTGATTATGCCCGATCGAGCAGCTGTCACAGAAGTACTCTGTCACCCGGAATCGACCCTACCGTCAGGGTAGGATTTGCGCTGTCGAAATTCCAAAGGGGACTAACCTTGAAGGCAATATAGGACCGTTTTGCTGAACATCATCACCGCTGCTGCGAACCCGATCAAGGGCGCCTTCGGATCGGACCTCTTCTCGCTCCCTTCCAGTCTCCATCGTTTGTTCTGACTAAAGTGAGAGAGGTAGATGTACTCCAGATTGAGAGTCGATTGAATGATGTTGAGCGTAGCTTGGGCAGAGGTGAACCCGGTAATAGATTTGGAGGTGAAGCCAGGGAGACCGTACAGGTGATCGATCTCGCCGTATAGTCTGGAGGATACGGCAATTCAAGAAAGGGAAGCGTATCAGACAGAATCGTATGCGAGAGGTAGAGAGGCAAGAAACTCACTCGTACGGCTTCCAGACCCAATGCAGATCTCCTCCGGGCATCGACCTCGGCCTCAACAGACAGTAACCGGCATCTAAAGCGAAACGAGTCGGGCATGGGCATCATCAGAAATCGCGCGCAGCGTTTGTTTTCATCCTGCTGATGATAACACAGATCTATAGCACAGAGCTACTCACCCCAGAGAAGGACGACGCTGCTCAACCCGAACCAGATGCTTATCCACGATGGAGGTCGAAGCGAGGGAGAACGGATGAGCGCCGCGGCAGGCTTGGAGATCGCTGGAGGCATCGAGCGGGCAAGAAGCGGATATACGTGTCCGTCTATGATCAACGTCTCGGAAATGCAAGTCGCCGTGTGTATATGCGAAGGTAGCACTCGATACCCGACATACTGGTAGAGTAGCGTAGATTCCACTTGAACCTTTTCCACCGCAAGGGGTAACATTTCGTTTGTTTACATTTCGTCAGAAACAGCAGAGCAGAGACTTCGCGCGAACCGATCATCGCGGCGTTTCAGTATTTCTGATGCATCGACACATTGCTGTAGATGCAGCTCGAGATTGCAGGTGTCTTTAGGGGCTGTGAATCCAAGTGAGATCATCTTTTCCCTGAGATCAACCTCTTTATCTAATTCGAGGCTCATTGGGTGACGATTGGAAGGTGGATTGAGCGTAAGCATGTTTGAGCATACACGAGCCTTAAGGGCACATCTTAACACTTGCAAGAACTGGGGAGGACGATGTTAAAGCTCGTCGAGCATGCTCCGATCCAGCGGTGCGAAGCTTTCGCTCCTGATTACTGCTCAAGTTACAACAGTCTCGCTATATCGTCTCGTCTCTGACGCCATCATCATCGTCGTCGTCATCGTCCAGGTCTAGACCCATCATGCCCAACAACCTTCCGACTTCCTTGCCCGCCCTGACTCTCCGCTCGTCCTCGTTCTCGAACATACCCAACTCTGCTCTCGTCCTGTTCAGCTGATCGAGGATGGCTTCGAGATTGACCTCTTGGTCAAGGTCGAGGTCAAGGTCAAGATCCGGGTCTTCCGCACGCGTGTTGGGATTCAAAGCGTAGCTGGAAGAATTCGAGAGGAACGGCCCGAAATCGTCCTCGAAGCCTATGGATGCCGTTGCATCGTCCTTACCACCTGCATTATCTGCCGACGCTGGTAGCGAGGCAGGTGTAGGCGAAACAGCACCGGGCTTATCGCTCAGCCAGGCTTCGAGGTCGTCCTCCATCCGCTTCGAATCGGCCAGGTCCCGGCTGATCACGCCTTCCTTCTCCACCGCACCAAGACCTTGACCTAGACTTGAGTCCAAGTCCGAGTTCAAGTCCGGGTTGGTTCCCGGTGCCAGAGGAACAATATGCCGCTCGACGTCTTCCCGATCGACTTCTCGATTAGGTTTAGGCTTGGAGGTGGCAGATTTGGGTTTCCTCTTCATGCCTTCCCACATGATCGTTTGCAGGGAATCGAAGATGACCTTCAAGCCGTCTTCTTCCTGCAGATCCTCCTCATCTAGGTCTCGCGGAACACCCACCTCCTCGTCGCGAGCTATCGTAGCGTCTCCCTCGTTCAAAGAGTGATGAACGAACTCCCACCCGAATGCATCGAACTCCTCTGAACCTCGTACTCGGATGTCTTCTTCGCTAGTTCCAGTCCGACTCCCGCCCCTGTTAGAGAGGTACAGCGCATAACTCAGTTCCATTGCGGGTTGATGCTCGAGAATGGTCTGAAGGTATTCGGGAGGAGGTTTGGGCTGGAGCCGGGAAAGTTCCGATGCGGCCAGGTCAGACAAGGCAGATCGAGTCCACAACGGAGCGTTCGGAGATGAGATGAGATACGGTTAGCTTAGATCAGAAATCTCGAAAACTTTGCCAATCTCCCACTTCTACTCACAAGATCGTTCGAACCCGATCCCGTGGCGATCATCGACTCGTCGGAGAAGGCCCAGACAAACGCCTGAGCTGCTCCTTCTCCTCCCTCTGGTAAACATAGTGACCTGAAGACTAGTGGTATATTTGTCGTTGGACTTCTTGACCCAATTGGAGATGAAGAGGAAGAGGACTGGGAGGAAGGAAACGTGGAGGATGGCCCGCTGACGCAACAAAGGTACAGAGAGATGTCGGCCGTATAATACTTGTTGTCGATCTTGTAAGTCAAGATCTCTTCCGTGGCATTGCGAGCATCTGTCGAGATGTTTGCTTCGGATTTGTGATCTGATCGCGAGCCCGTACTAGTCTGAGGCGCTCGAACGTCATCCCGAGCTGCAAACAGTGGTAGAAGCATGTCATGACTCGTCAGACCAAGTCTAGCGAGCGGTCAGGACCGAGAAGCTGACCCAGTAACGCCTGGCGGAGTGACGAGTACGTCGAAGCGTCTGTAAGGAAGATGACCGAGTCCGAGGATGACATGGCTCTAGGTGGAGGCGTGTTTCCCTGATGGGCCCGAATATTTGGGGTCAAGGTATTAGAAGAGTTATTTGTTGGAAGGTCGAGCGATATGATGAATATGAGCAAGTCGTAATATGCTTCCGAGCTAGCAGTGAACCGGAAGTATATACTCTCGTTTGGTTCGTGCCTCACGTGACCGTTCTAGTCTCGTTTATAAGGAAAGCAGGTGATTTGGAAAAGATGGAGGTTGGGCGTGATGAGCACAAGACAGTTCTCAGGATGAGTCGAATCCGTCAAACTAAGTTGGAAGGGATCCAGCCGAGCTCAACCACGTTCGCTTACGTAACGTGACGCAACTGTCCCGGTCACGGCCGGCGGCGGAAGGCCAAAGCTGGGGAAGCGACGCGACTGACTGTCGAGCGACGACGACGTTCCAAGATCCATCTGATCAAGGTTCGAACAAGACCTCACGACATCATTTACTCAGGCCAAACGATACCATCACATACTTGTTGCTGCCACTTCTCTATCCCCCTCACTCTCGCTACATCTATACTACGCTCGTTTCGCACCCACACTTTCGACTTTTCTCTCCTGAAGAGGACAGCCACTCTTTTTTGATCGATATTTCTACCTTCATCAAACAATAACAAACAAACGTCACATTCGACGACGACGACGACGACGACGACGACGACGACATCTTTCGCCACAAACACAGCTTCAACCACAACCTTTATTCGTATAGACAATAGCTATCTCTAGTATCATATCATTGGCTGCCAGATTTTCAAGCTTGGTATCGACCTTCAGCTGGGCCACCGAGAAAGGACACTACTAAGTCTATCGCTAGTTCCATCACCGAGGTTGACGATTACGTCGGACAATCTGAACCGGACCATTACCTACAACTATATCCGAGTGATCTCGATGTCTTGATACTACAAGCCTCTCTAACAGAGTTCATTCGCCGCTTCAACCCATAAAACCTTCAATATCGCTCTTATTCCAGTCGATAACAACCTAGACCGGGCCATCCGTGGAGGACAGTGTATACGAGCTGGTCTCGAACATTGCCACACCTGACATCCACTGCAACCATCAGGGGTCAACTAGTGCTTCCATACGACATACCATTCGAAATCAAAGCACTTTGTCGATCTACTTCGATACACGAAAACACAAACCAAAGTCAGACGGAAATCGAGATCAGGACGATGGAATTCGTGCTCCCCGGCATCGAGACGGTCGAGGTCGAGGCACCGCAGAGCATTTCATTAGACGACGAAGAAAATGTGGAAACCGATAGAATAGGGGAGAGTGGAGAGAAGGACGACCCGGTCGAGAGTCAGGTCAAGGCGGTCTATGAACGACGCCGGTTAGCCCAGTTGGTAGCTGCCAAGAAAAAGGTCAGCCCTCTTTTCCTTCGAGCGAGTGTAGAAGGAGCGGTCAATTCTGTGGTCAAGGATGCTGACTGTACTGATATACTGGCTGCTATGTAATAGTTACGTTCGTTCAGACAACAGAAAGCAAAGAAACTGCTGCCTAGTCCGGTGATCGATCCGTCTCCCGAGGTTGACGAGCGGGAAACGTCAATACGGATGGCGGACAATTCCGATCGAGAAGAAGATCCCCCATCTAGCTCCAGCCATCAACGACCGGTCACCCCGATGTTTCTCGCGCCTTCGTGGAACGCTCCGGCGTCCAGTTCGGGATCGGGGTCGCATTCAAGAGCTCGATCGAAGTGTCTCACCCCGATGGATTTGGCGCTCGTATCTCCCTCACCTCAGCCCGCCAATATGAATCAGGATCATAACCAGGATCCGGGGTCTATGCTGTTGGGTACGAAGGGCTTGAGCACGGGTGCTAGCGAGACGAGGCTGGCAGGGAGAAGGAAGAGAGAGGCTTTGAAGCCAATTAGGGTACAAGAGATGGGCAGATCTGGGTCCGGTTCTGGGTCCGGGATCGGCCTGGGACTAGGATTGGGCATAGGATGGGGAACGGGTCGAGAGATGGGAGGTGTTGATGTTCAGTCCGAATCGTCCTCTTGGGCTGAAGACAAGGACAAGGGATCCGACCGTCCTTCTCCACTCCGTGACAGCCCTCGGTCGAGTGAGAACCGAAAACGTAGATCCTTCAAGAAGATTGTGCCTACGCATCGTCATACTGGTTCGGCAGATAGTCTTCGACGACTAGGAAGCGGGTGGAATGGCGGCAGACGACCTGAGGGAAGAGGCGTATTTGGCGACAATATGGAAGAGGAGATGGGGATCCGGACGGCGCCCGGGAGGTTGGAAGGGGTGGGCTCTGATGCAGGGCCCGGGCTGGGAGGGTTGGGGGAACCCTTCTCGATCCCCCGATTTGGTGCAAGGTTGGAATCGGCCGCGGGAGAGACAGAATCGAACTTAGAGATGCCGGGATTGGACTTTTCGATCCCGATGGATATCGATGCGGATGCACCGAGCGAGATGCCGCCTTTCTCATTTCCTCAACGAAAGGGGTTCGGATTTGCTCGAAACGAGGTCGAGGGAGAGGTTGCGGATGAACGGCCGGTTTCGATCTTGCCCGAACTTGCTGTAGTCCCCTCGACACCGGCTTGGGAGGAGTTTTCTCTGCCCGCTCTCGATTCGAATTCACCAGGACGCGCCTCAACATCGAGTCCCTCGCCCGTACCAGAGGAACGAGTCAAGCAGCGGTTCGAGGGGTTCAAATTCGGACAACCTGCGCCGGCGGAGTCAAAGCCGACCATGTCTGCATTTTCGTTTGGCAAAAAGCTCGAACCCGTTGTTGTCAAGTCAGACCCCGTGGCCGACGACATGCCCGTCTCGGCGGTGTCGATGCCTAGTCTACCTTCGACTCCGACGAGGAAGAAGCGGCATTCCCACACTCGCTCGGGGTCGGTCTCGTCGTATCACGCATTCTTGCCGCACAGCGGGGTGCCAGCCGCTCCGAGGTCACCTGGCATGCTGTCGATCGATCAGATGCCGCTCACCTTTTCCAGCCCGAGCGGAAGGCTGAGTCCCGGTCCGTCCAGTCCGACAGAGGGGTTCGATATGACCAGCCCTGTCAAGGCTCCGGGAGACATCAAACTCGATCGCGAGGGCGCACTCAGGACGCTCGAAGGTGCGAGAAACGGACTCGCTGCTGGTGCGTCAGTCAATGCAGTGTCAAACTTGACATGGCCCATGCCCGGTGTGGATGGGCTGTTTGGAAGGGATGGCAGGCGTCTCAGCGCGGGTGGTCTCGGCGCTCAGGGCAAGCGGCGCAGCCGGAAGAGTCTGATGATGGAAAAGGCTCAGCAAGAGGCACCCGAGGTGCAGATTCCCGATCTCGATAGCGACGAAGAGATCTTGGGACAGGACGTCTCGTCGCCGAATCCGTTCGGGTCGGCTCCGTCATCACCGCGTCCACCGGTCAAGGAGAGGCCGCTTTCGGGAATCATCTTGGCGCCCGCTTCGACTCGGGACTCGTTTGAAAAGATGTTCAAGGCGCCTCCAGCGGCGGTAGCGCCTGGTTTCGGATTGACATTGGCGCCGACCATGGGCGCGAGCGTCGAGCCGCATCTGAACACGTTGGTAGAAGAGGAGGAGCCTGACGAGGAAGAGCAAGAGGTTGCGGATCCGACAACACCTAGGGCCGCCTCCCCGATAGCGTCTCCGCCACCAGTATCCTTGACGTCCACCCGGATGAGACCGCTACGCCTGCTGTCCATGTCTTCCGAGTCGGCCTCGTCCATGAGACCGTTCGACGCGGATGACTCGATCTCGGATCGCCATTCGTTGAGTTTTGAGCGTGGTCGGTCGTCATCCATCGAGTCTACCCCCATGTCGCCCGGGTCGAATGCGGCGTCCGACGTATCGACGCGGAGGACGAGCTTTTCTAGCAGGACTTCCGCGTCGGCTATGGAGGAATCGGCCAAGGTCGGACGGAGACCCAGAAGTCTGGTAGGATGGGGCAAGCGGGTGTCAAACGTGAGCTTGAGCGGTTCCGTCAGGACGCTCAACGAGGTGTCCGAGTCGGCCGACGTCGAAGATCCGCAACACACGCCGCGGGTCACTGGCGCTACGGAGCAAAAGGTTGCCTTGCCTTCAAGTTCGCGAGTTCGCAGGCGCCGCAGTCTTACGGCTCACAGTATCGCTCTGGGGTCGTTTGAGAACTGTGACGACGTCGCGTTGCTCAAGGAGAAATTGGCAGACGCCGCGATGGAACGCATGGCAATGGAGCAGGACATTCAGGATTGGCGCGGACGATGTGGAGATTTAGACAAGCAATTGAGGGCCGAACGGCAGCAGAGCGGGGTGTTGCGGGATCGGGTCCGGAGACGTGAGTCGGCCGATTTCGGAGGCGGTAACGTCAATTTGCTTGCTGACGGTCCTTGGATCGATAGTCGGCGACCATCTCTCGCAAATCTCTTCTGCGGCCAGTCCGTCGGAACCGTCGGTGCTCGAAGTCGACACACCCAGCCAGATGATGGCGTCCATGCGTGATCAGCTGTTCAAGTTGGCACAAGAAGTTGAGCGCGAACGCAAGGCCAAAGTGGATGCCCTCGCCAATGTCGCCGGCCTGCAGGTCCGTCTCGAGGCGCTGGCGCCTGCGGCTCGGATACAGGAGCCGTCGTATCAACAAGGTGCTGGTCATCCTCTCGGCGTCGCCTCGTCTGACCCAACGAGCAGGCTGCGAGGGTTTGCATTTCCCCGTGGACCGGTCCCTGTGTCGAAAGGCGGCCCCGAATCCAACGACGAGCTAGGCGCCACGCTAGTTCCGGCGGCCTCGCATTCGTTCGAGTTGTCTCGACCTCGACACCACTTGCGTCAGGAGAAATCGGACCGTTTGCCGCCAGTCGTCACCCTCCCGACCTCGCAGCCCTTGCGGCAGCTGGATTTTCGGGCTTGTTGTGGGGTTTGTCGAGGGAACGTGATTGAGCTTTAGTGAGGATGCATTTTGGGATTTTCTTGTTTCTCGTTCTCGTGATAGTATAGTGTGCATGGGACCTGGGAATTGTACAAAGTACGGCCGAATATCGTTGTAGCTTATACCATCGGATCAGGACAGACGAGCGACCCGGATCTGACAGACGGGGTGATCGTACGAAGGACAGCCGGTTGTCTAGGGTCCCTGTTGTGACTTGAACACGGCACACTTACGCGCGCGTGCGCCCCGCCACAGAACAACTTTGACGTCGTCAACCGCGGTCCCTCTCGTGATTCGAACGCAGCACCCCCGGGCGCAAGAGAGCGCAGTTGATTCCATGGTGTCTGACAGCATCTAAGGCAGCAAAGTAGACGGACAGTAGAATCGAGCGCTCGCGCGGCCGATGGTCCGGCCATGGAAGGCTTAGACTGCTGCAACGACAGATTGGTTACAAGTGCATGCGTCGGTGCAGACTTGCTTGTGAACCTGGACGCAAAGTCGTGCCGAGTGCGATCGAAAACCGCATTTTCTCGAAAGGGGAATGCTCGCTAACATGAGTCTTCGACAAGAATATAAAAGGACACAGGTGTTGTCATCGCGGTGGTGCTTCACCGTCGTGATGACATGGGCAAACACGGTATTGACAGGGTATCGCCAAGAACCAGGCGTCGTTACTGGGGATCACATGTTTTCGTCCAAGCCAGTCTGAAGTTGAGGACCTTGATAATGGTGGGTCAGTAGAACCACAACAACGTCGGACCTCAATACAATCTGAGATCCCCTCTGCGCCGCTGCGATAGATCGGAAAGAATACACGCAAGCGCGACCGTTTTGAGCTGCCATATCAGGAATTTCCATCAGTCGAAGGTCAGCTTGCTCGTTCGCGGCCGAACGGAAGGAGGTCAGAGTGCAGGAAGAGAGGAGGAGCATCTCTTTAGGTAGGCGAGACAGCTTGACAAGGCGCCGGGTTGAAACGTCGAAGAATCCCGTGCCTCCGACGGGAAAAAGACCCAAAATTTGCGGAAAAGAGGCAAAAAAGAATGGGTCCCACCTGTGACTCGAACACAGCACCCCTGAGGCGGTATAATGTGTTCAGGTCACGCGGCTCAATTTAGCTTCCGAGATCTCAAAGTTTGCATCCGATGATCTGCTCTCGCGCGTCGTTCTCGAAGGTTGCATCCGACCCAGGGATCTCGCGCGCCTCCGAGTAATTCGCCGCGCCAAAAGAGACAACTCGCGGATCCGGACAACTCGCTCGAAGATGACGATTTTTTGTGACCCAATTCTTTGGGTCACAAAATAACGTCATCGATTAGTTTCAGCGCGCTAAAACTAAAGTAGCGCTGCAACATCATGCGCGCACATGCGCCGGACATGTCGTCATTTACATGTCCGCATCTGCCCAAGCTTCATGGCGTCATGGTGGTCCTACTCATCCTCTTTGATCTCTGTAGAAGAAACCGTCGCACCGATATCACAATCAAGCAATTCAAGCACAACATCCCGAGTCGACATCTGTTTCAGTAGTACATCAACACCTCATTCATCATGCCTCCCCGACGTGGTCCACCGGCCAATGTCGGCATCAAGGTTACGGAGCGCCCAGCCGAAACCGCTCAACGAGCGGCTGACCGACTCACCGAACAAGCCCATCAAGAGGGCTATGAAAACCCCTTTGACTATGTCTCCAGCGAGGTCGACCGTCATCTATTGATGTGGCCCGTTGCGGCGAGTCGCATCATTCGACTCCGTGTTACCCTCGGCTACCTTATCGAATACGTCCAACTCGTTGTCAAGATGGATGTTTCGCAAGCCCTCGACATCTCTGATTTCGAGCGGTTCAAGAAGATGATCTTGGGATATCTGGAATATCGTTTGAGCCGTTCTACGGGTACCAAGAAGATAGCTGCATCGACTTTACAGGTACGTCCGCGCTCGAACGGAACGCGTGGCCTAGCAAATCGCTAACGATGTGTTTCGTCTACGCTCGACCCTCACTGTGCAGCATGAAAAGTGGGACCTTATTGCCCTGATCAAGTTCTCTGCCCTCCCCGAGATCACCGCAGACCAGCACAAGAATCTAGTTACGACATTGTCCCGCGTCGCCAAGAACATGATCCGGGACCACGAACTTACAACGAAGGTGTCGAGAGTCATGCTACTCGGTCAGAAGGAGATTCGATTGTTACTAGATAACAATTTCGACGAGTCGAGAGAACATGTCTTTCATCTAAGACTACAAGATAATGTTCTTCTGTTGTTCTACTTCTACACGATGGCCAGGCCAGGCAGCCTCCTCGCGACTAGACCCTACCCCAACAAGGGTCTCCGATGGAAGGATATCAAATTCTATCGTCACGCCGATGGCGAAGAGCTGTCTGATCTTGACATCGTTATCAATATCGACAACTTTAAAGGTCATCAACTCGATACGGCGCTTGAAGTCGAGTACGACGTCAGGGGCACGACCGACCCGAGGAACCTCGTTTTCGACCTGCCCGTGCTTCTCGTAGCTCTCGGATGCCACCGAGATATCTTCGAGAATCCTGAAGATATCTTTCATAGCGACTCGGCCGCCATAACCGTCAAGGCAGATCACCTCAACGATCCGATCTTTCTCGGTAGAACCTCTCGCTCGGGGGTCGGTGACCAGCCGATGACTTATGAAGCATCCCGAGTGCAATTCCTAGCCAATTGCACCGAAGTCGGGTTACTATCCTCCGGTCAAAAGGTGACGACCTACGGTAAGTTTCCCAGCTTGTTCGGATGCTAGACCACCCAGCCCAACTTGTTTCACGTCCACAACGCTGACTGAACGCTCTTGACGAATCTCAAGGTATAAGGAAGAAGATGGCGACCGAGAACGTAAAGACGTTCGGGTATGACATCACTCGCAAGCTTATGGGGCATGGAAGTAGATCAAAAGCGCTGGAATCCCATTACGACATGTCGGCTTATGAAGTCGACATGACCGGGGCTGCGCTGGGCGAGCAGTCCTCGACGAAAGTCAAGTTGGGCCAACACCCTTTCATCCAAGCTGGTTTCAGACGAGCAGCCGTTGTAAGTACCGCATGCATGAATGCCCGGCCGCTTGCACTGATCGTTACCCCTTGGTTCTCCTCGATATCCTACCGCTTGGGCTAGGATTTCACTCTACAGGACGCGATCGACCTTGATCCGGAGTGCGACCTGTACCGCTGGTAATTTGATAGTCCCGCCCTTCGATTGACTTGAGCTTACCTCCGCCGTGCGTAACAGGTACATTTCGGAACTCCGCCACGCGTTCTTGACTGGATCCAGTGATTGGAAGCTCCTCCCTTTTTTCACCGAAGGAGATACCCCGGTGAAGGCAGGTCAGTCTCTTGTACGGCATCATGTCCCGAATCTACACCTCATTGATGAAAGTAATTCCCTGCGCAAAACGTTTGGTAGGTACAATCACGGAAACCCTGAGGAAGCTCATCCTCCGCTATCGTACTAGAGTGAACACTCTTCGGTACATGACAAGAGTGTCGCAGGCCGAGCTTGATCTGGTCCAAACACTTCAGGAGCAAAAGAGGTTGTTGGCGGCGTCGGAGGTTCCCAGTACCGTTCCGGAGCGTCTACGCAAGGGCCTAGCTGAAAAGGAAGCCAAGATTGCTTTCGAGATGAACGCTACCGGAGAATTCGACAACAACGAAAGCGTGAAGATCAGGTTTGCCGTCCCCGAGCCGGATCCAGAAATGGACGATGTAGAGGACGATCTAGAGGTCGTAGATTCTGCCCTTGAAGATGAAGAGGATGAGGCGGCTGCTGCTGCTTCCACCGAGACGACCACTGCGACCGTCCCCGCCGAGACAAGCCCTGCTCAGATGATGGTCGATGAGGCTGCGACCGCCCCCACCGAGACGACCACTGCGACCGTCCCCGCCGAGACAAGCCCTGCTCAGATGATGGTCGATGAGGCTGCGACCGCCCCCACCGAGACGACCGCTGCGACCGCCCCCACCGAGACGACCGCTGCGACCGCCCCCGCCAAGACGACCTCTGCAAAGATCAACTGGCTGAAAGACGTAATCAAGACCGCAAATGCCGCAAAGACCAAATCACACTCTAAATCACCTTGTGTAAGTACAGCTCACGGGCTACAAAGTACTAGAATATGACGCAGGGTTTCACACCGCCAGGGCAACACGTACTGTTGTTTGCGCTGAGAGGTGTACGGAACTCTGCGCCAAATACAAGTAGCAATGAGCTAATGACGTAATAATGATGTAGATGATGTGCGAAGAAGAAGCCGGAGAAGTAGGCGCCAAAGTGGAACTCTACACGTCGCGGGAGCTATGGATACACCAAGCACATGGCCCTTATCACTCGCCCGCCGGACGCTTCGATAGATGGCTCAAATCGACATCAGATGATCCCGCGACTCTCCACTGCCCTCTTTGCAACCATGAAACACATGGGAAAGGGGGCAGGTTACCGTCTGTGCCTCTAGCTGAGCAACATTTGTACGCGAAACACGTCGCCGCCGAGAGCCCCGAAATGCCTGCGGACCATCAGTGCTACCTTCGTTGCAAATACGAGCTGCAGTTTCCGACCCCCAGGGAACGAGTAGAATTTGGGTGGAACAAAGGTACGTTCAGGGACAAAACCCGCCAACCGTTCAAGACTCTGACAAAGGGTTTTCGTAAAGACCGTTATCATGATGGGTTCAGCGTCGAACGTTGGATTCGAAGCAAACTTCCGGCAGATGACGTGAGTCTGTTTGTGTTCCGCATTCAAGTTGGCTCTAGCCCAATCTCACCACTCTCTAATGTTACGGACGAAACGAAAACATCACCGTTCCTCCTTCACCGACATGAACGAAACAGGAGCGGCTTCTCACGGACGACGATTACCGTTACCATGGCTCTTCGACCGTCACCGAGGATGTCATGCGACATGCCGAGTCCTGGTCCGATCTGCCTACAATGGAGATGTTTGGAAAGGTCTTGCGATCCCGAGACGGCATGTAATGCATGTAGCGCATCCTTTCTCATTGATATGAAATCTTATTCTTATGTTAAAGTACGGAAAAGACAGTTTGTATGGAGACATGCGGGTTGCTATGTTAAAGTACGGAAAAGACAGTTTGTATGGATACATGCGGGTTGCATGGTCCGCTAGGTATGTGATGGTGTCTCGTTAAGTGAAAGTGCCGTGATGTTGTCGTTGTCGTCAGATGAAATGCTGAGAGTCGTCGAGTGAAATGCTGAGTGAAATGCTGAGTGGAGTGGAAATCGTCGAGTAGAAATGCTGAGTGAATGAAGCATTCTGTCTCTGAACAACCCGAATCAGTCCCAAACCCAAACAGATCCGCGACTAAGACTGACCATTCGACCGGTTCATCGTTTTCCCCATCATCGCTCTCCCCATCATCCTTCTCCCTATCATCGCTCTCCCTACCAACGTTTCCTGCCTGCTTCTCCCCACCAACGTTTCCCGCCTGCCCAGCCTCGCGAAGTCCCTCGCGAAGCCCCTCGCGAAGCCGCAGCTCCAACTCTAGCTTTCTGCATTCCTGTTCCAAAATTTTGAGCCTGATTTGATCGCTCTTGAGCTTAAGGATCTAGATGGAGTGGATGTGAATACGCCGGAGAGATGGAGTGGATGTGAATACGCCGGAGAGATGGAGTGGATGTGAATACGCCGGAGAGATGGAGTGGATGTGAATACGCCGGAGAGATGGAGTGGATGTGAATACGCCGGAGAGATGGAGTGGATGTGAATATGCCGGAGAGATGGAGTGGATGTGAATATGCCGGAGAGATGAAGTGATGTGAATACGACGGATTGCGTACCTCTGCTGGATAATCCCCAATCAGCTCCAGGACCAACTGACGCTCGCTCTTCATGATCTCGATAATAGCGTTATCTTTCATTCATGGGAGAGGTCAACAAGAGGTGTCGCGAGAGACAGGGCAGGGAGGCACTCACCAATCAAAAGTTGCTTCTCCCACAGCACCAACCCCCTCTCCTCTTTCGCATACCTCAGACCAAACATCAAGTTATCCTTCGTCTTCGCGGTCCAGGGCGCTATGTAAAGGTGGATCAGCCTGAGAACTAAGGACTAATAAAGGGAAGCGACGAGACTGAACTCATCGAGGAAGCGACGAGATGGAATCAATCAAAGGAAGCGAAATACCGACCTTTGAGCTCGTCGTCCGCACACCCCCACAAGATCCGAGCGGCATCCGACATGCGGATGTCAAGGGATACGGGGTCCTTGTCCTTCTATTGTATTCAAGTTAGCCTCGAAATTGTCGGCGGTAAAATGGCGAATGAAGCGAGGTCGGGGAGTCGGCGGGGAGGATGAACGGTACCTCAAGTGCCTTTTTCGCCAACTTCTGCTGTTTCTTCTTCTCGGCAGCCTTTTCTTTCTTCTCCTTGGCAGTAAGTCCCGCGTCAGGATCCTCCTCGTCGCTTTCGTCTCCCTCTCGAACTTTCTTTGCCGGCTGGCCACCATCCTCGTCGTCGTCCTCGCCGCCGTCGTCCTCTTGATCCTTTCGGCTTCTCTTACGGCTAGTCTGAGGATTCTCCATGGCTTGGAGGAGTGCTGCAGCATCAGTAGTCCTTCCTCCTTTGAACTGAGTACCGGTTGAGGTTCCTCTACCCCTTCCTCCTCGTCCGCCCCTGCTACCTCTTCCTCGGCGGGAAGATCCTCCGCGGGATGATTCGGGTGCGTCTTCGTACAGGGTATCGTCGTCCATGGCTATTGTTTGGGCTTGTATCGGATGCAGAGGAGATGAGACCGATGATGTGTACACCGTGATTGATGAATTGACGATGTATGTGGTATATGATGCATGTATACGTATACGTACAAGATATACAAGATATATTGATATATTGATGCAGTTGATGGGATCGCGGTTGATGGGATCGCGCGCGGGGGTCCTTTAATCAATCTGCATCCGGCGCTCCGATAAGGAAAGGTGATTCACCTTGTACCGGCTGGAATCACGTGAGAGGTCGCTGATCGTAACCCCTGAGAAAGTTACGCGACATGCATGACAGCGAAAGGAGAAATCATCCGGTGGCAGGACTTTTCATGCTAGGACGCTCTTGGTCGCACCTGGATGCATGTAAATGTGCCCCTAAATCATGTTGCATGACAGCTTGTATGCCTACCTGTTCACCTGGCCATGAATACTCAGCCTCTGGTATATGATTCCCATAGCATATTGGTCCGGATCAGCTCGAGACGGTTTGAGGATCCCATCTTCAATCTTGAGGCTCATGGCGTCTTTGCAGCCAAAGGGCTGTATATTTCATCCCTGTTGCGGTTGACAAGAACAGGGCGAACGGTGTGAGCTTCTGATACCAGCAAATCCAAAAAGATTGGCTTGCTCCAAGGCAAAAAGGAAGGTCCCACCCCCGACTCGAACGGGGCACCCCTCCCAATTGCGGTGTTACACCCTAAGGGAGGATCATAACCCCTAGACCAGCGGGACTTTGATGTTTAGGTCGTTCCCGAGTGGTATCGAGCACTTGATCGATCGCCCGGACCAAAATCCGCACTGCTTGGCACTTGGGAGCAATACGATCGATACGGGAGGTCATAACCCCTAGACCAGCGGGACCTTGATGTTTAGCTCGTTCCCAAGTGGTATCGAGCACTCGATCGATCACCCAGACCAAAATCCGCACTGCTTGGCGCTTTGGAGCGATACGGAGCGATACGGTCGATACGGGAGGTCATAACCCCTAGACCAGCGGGACCTTGATGTTTAGCTCGTTCCCGAGTGGTATCAAGCACTCGATCGATCACCCAGACCAAAATCCGCACTGCTTGGCACTTTGGAGCGATACTGTCACTGCTTGGCACTTTGGAGTGATACTGTCGATACGGGAGGTCATAACCCCTAGACCAGCGGGACCTTGATGTTTAGCTCGTTCCCGAGTGGTATCAAGCACTCGATCGATCACCCAGACCAAAATCCGCACTGCTTGGCACTTTGGAGCGATACTGTCACTGCTTGGCACTTTGGAGTGATACTGTCGATACGGGAGGTCATAACCCCTAGACCAGCGGGACCTTGATGTTTAGCTCGTTCCCGAGTGGTATCAAGCACTCGATCGATCACCCAGACCAAAATCCGCACTGCTTGGCACTTTGGAGCGATACGGTCGATACGGGAGGTCATAACCCCTAGACCAGCGGGACCTTGATGTTTAGGTCGTTCCCGAGTGGTATCGAGCACTCGGTCGATCACCCAGACCAAAATCCGCACTGCTTGGCACTTTGGAGCGATACGGTCGATACGGGAGGTCATAACCCCTAGACCAGCGGGACCTTGATGTTTAGGTCGTTCCCGAGTGGTATCAAGCACTCGGTCGATCACCCAGACCAAAATCCGCACTGCTTGGCACTTTGGAGCGATACGGTCGATACGGGAGGTCATAACCCCTAGACCAGCGGGACCTTGATGTTTAGCTCGTTCCCGAGTGGTATCAAGCACTCGGTCGATCACCCAGACCAAAATCCGCACTGCTTGGCGCTTTGGAGCGATACGGTCGATACGGGAGGTCATAACCCCTAGACCAGCGGGACCTTGATGTTTAGCTCGTTCCCGAGTGGTATCAAGCACTCGGTCGATCACCCAGACCAAAATCCGCACTGCTTGGCGCTTTGGAGCGATACGGTCGATACGGGAGGTCATAACCCCTAGACCAGCGGGACCTTGATGTTTAGCTCGTTCCCGAGTGGTATCAAGCACTCGGTCGATCACCCAGACCAAAATCCGCACTGCTTGGCGCTTTGGAGCGATACGGTCGATACGGGAGGTCATAACCCCTAGACCAGCGGGACCTTGATGTTTAGCTCGTTCCCGAGTGGTATCAAGCACTCGGTCGATCACCCAGACCAAAATCCGCACTGCTTGGCGCTTTGGAGCGATACGGTCGATACGGGAGGTCATAACCCCTAGACCAGCGGGACCTTGATGTTTAGCTCGTTCCCGAGTGGTATCAAGCACTCGGTCGATCACCCAGACCAAAATCCGCACTGCTTGGCGCTTTGGAGCGATACGGTCGATACGGGAGGTCATAACCCCTAGACCAGCGGGACCTTGATGTTTAGCTCGTTCCCGAGTGGTATCAAGCACTCGGTCGATCACCCAGACCAAAATCCGCACTGCTTGGCGCTTTGGAGCGATACGGTCGATACGGGAGGTCATAACCCCTAGATATTATAGGCGTCACGTGACGCGCGACCTACGGTGCGCGTCGCCTCGGGGTCTCGTTCGGAGACCCTCTCGGAGACCCTCTCGGTGACCTTTTAGGAGATGTTCTCGTAGACGTCTAACTAGTACCTTGTAGTAGTTAGACATCCGTTATTACATTACTATGCCTACCGTTACCTTTCCCCAGTCCCGCGACCTTATTACCTCAAGACCCGGCAGGTCGGCTGCCAGGCCTTATAGAATAACGGATCACCAAAGGACCCCGGCTGGGAACGTGAAAAGGGGTAGTGATGGGATCCCGCTGCACATTGGTGCTAGCGGTAACCCTAGTGGTCCGGAGAGCCACCTCACTCTGGTAGGAGTGTTCTACCCGCAGGGGATTCCCGTGCAGGCAGTGATGATGGTAGATTCGGGGGCCACGGGTATGTTCATGGATCGGACGTTCGCGAGGATCCATAACTTTGATGTGATAGACCTAGAGAACCCTAGGACCGTTACGGTCATCGACGGAAGAGAGATAGTGGGTGGTCAGATCACCCAGAAGGCACATGCTATTGTGCGGACAGGATTGCACCAAGAGAAGGCGGAGTTCTTCTTGACGGATTTGTGTGGGTACGCGGCGGTCCTCGGGATTACATGGTTACGACACCATAGCCCACACATCCAGTGGGATACGAATACGGTCACCTTCGCGGACGACTGTTTGAAGAAAGGATGCGTCAAGAAGGTAGAGGTAGTATGCTCCCCCGACGAGGTGGAGATAGAAACGCGGAATATCGATCCGCTGTCGAGAATGAAGGAGCCGATCACGGAGAATCTCGTGGTGGCTCAAATGCAGATGACGAGGGAGGATGAGGAGCGGGCCCGCAGGCCGGACCTGTGGGACTGGGACGTCAAGCCCACCGACTCGATTCAAAACGAACTCGATCCTCCCGAGTACATGGAGAAGTTGCGAGACGTTGTGCCGAAGAAGTACCATGAGTACCTCGGAGCGTTCTCCAAGACGAAGGCAGACTCGCTGCCGCCGAAGCGCTCGATCGATCATGCGATCGAGCTGAAGCCTGGGACAACTCCCACGTATGGGAAGTTGTACAACCACTCGCAGAAGGAGACGGACGCTCTCAAGGCGTGGTTGGCGGAGAACCAGGCGAAAGGGTTTATTCGACCCTCGAAATCCTCGTGTTCGAGTCCGGTACTGTTCGTACCGAAGAAAGGGGGTGAATTGAGGCTGTGTATTGATTACCGCCGCCTCAACGAAATTACCGAGAAGGACAGGACCCCCCTGCCGCTTATCTCGGAGACCTTAGATCGCCTACGGGGATCGAAGGTATATACGAAGATGGACCTGAGGGGAGCGTACAACCTCCTGAGGGTCAAAGAGGAGGATGTTTGGAAGACCGCGTTCACGACACGCTATGGTCTGTTCGAATGTCTCGTCATGCCATTCGGTTTGACAAACGCGCCGGCGACGTTCCAGCGCTGGATGAATCAGGTCTTCCAGGACATGTTAGACGTGTGTGTGGTCGTCTATTTAGACGACATATTGATTTACTCCGCCGATCAGGAGACACACGACGAGCACGTACGGGAAGTGCTGAGGAGGCTACAGGCGAATGGCCTGTACGCAAAGGCGGAGAAGTGTGAGTTTGACACGACGGCGACGGAGTTCTTGGGGTATGATATTGCCCCTACGGGGGTCAGCATGAACCCGTCGAAGGTGAAGTCGGTGTTGGAGTGGGCGGCGCCTCGAAATATTCGAGGCCTGCAGTCGTTCTTGGGGTTCGCGAATTACTATCGCCGGTTCATACAGAACTACTCCAAGAAGATTCAAGGCATGACGGCCTTGACAAAGAAAGGGGTGAAGTACCACTGGCCGGAGTCAGCGGATGCTGCCTTCAAGGAGTTGAAGAAGGCGTTCACCGAGGCGCCCATCCTCGCTCACTACGACGAGGAGCGCCAGGTGGTACTGGAGACGGACGCATCATCAGGTGCGATGGGAGCGGTGATGTCGCAGGTAGGGGACGACGGGAAACTACATCCCGTGGCGTTCATGTCGAAGAGCCTTACGCCGGCTCAACGAAACTACGATGTACACGATCGCGAGCTGCTCGCCATCGTGTACTGCTGCCAGATATGGCGGCATTACCTAGACGGGAAGTTCCCGGTGAGGATCCTTACGGATCACAAGAACCTGGAGTACTTCAAGAAGGACAAGATGTTGTCCCACCGACAAGCGAGATGGTCTCAACTGCTGAACCAAATCTCGTACACGTTGGAGTACAAGCCGGGGACAGAGAACGGGAAGGCTGACGCGCTCAGCAGGAGAGAGGAGTTGATGGAGGAGACGGAGCCCAAGCAGGCAGAGACCCTGCTGCGCCCCGTTAATGCAGACGCGTTGGTGGTCAGCGCAGCGACGGTACAACCCCCGTTGAGGTTGTGCGGAACGATCCCCGTCATAGGGGATTGGTTTTTGAAAGCGTTGATCCCTGCGGGACAAGAAGATCCGGTCGCGAGAGACCTGATCAAAGGCGTCAAGGAGGGAACCTTGACGAATAGTCGGTACAGTCTGAGCCCGGGAGGCGCGCTCATGTACGACGGGCTGGTGTATGTTCCCGATGCGGGAAGCTTGAAGACGGAGCTCTTGAAGAGGCTCCATGATGGGAAAACCGCCGGACACTACGGGCGGGACAAGACGGAGGACCTGGTGAATAGAGATTTCTACTGGCCGGGTATGAAGGCGTGGATTAGCCAGTATGTGGCTAGCTGCGACAAGTGCCAGAGGAATCGGAGGCCAAGGGCCAAGCCAGTCGGGGAGCTGGCTCCCCTGAAGGCGGAGACGGAACCCTACCAGTCGATCACATGGGACCATATCACGGACCTACCGGAGTCGAGGGGTTCGAACGCGATCCTGGTGATCGTCGACCGCTTCAGCAAGCGGGCACATTTCGTGCCTTGTCGGAAGGACAACGACGCCAAGGTGTTGGCACAGATGTTCCTGCAGGAGTGGGTACGATTGCATGGGTTTCCCCGGCAGATCATCTCGGACAGGGGAACGCTGTTCACATCGAGGTTCTGGAGGGAGTTCTGTGAGTTGTCCGGTGTCGAGCCTAGTTATTCGACCGCCTTCCACCCCCAGACGGATGGTCAGACGGAGCGCAGTAACTCGACGCTCGAACAGTACTTGCGGACGTACGTCAATTACCAGCAGGACGACTGGACCGATTTGTTGCCCATGGCGGAGTTCGCCTACAACAACTCGAAACACTCGGCGATCGGTATGTCGCCGTTCATGGCATCGGAAGGGCGGGAGCACGCCGTCGAACTCCCCATGCCTATCGCCAAGGATTCGGCTGTGGAGTCGATACAGGAGTACAGAGAGCGGATGAACAACATCTGGGAGTCTGTTAATGTCGCGCTGAGACAGGCCAGGGAGGATATGGCGAAGTACGCGAATCGGAAGCGTACGGCGGTACCGGATGAGGGGTACAATGTTGGCGACATGGTGATGTTGTCGTCGGCTCACGTCAATACCGTGAGGCCGAACAAGAAGTTGGAGTGGAAGACCTACGGCCCGTTCAAGATCACGGAGGTCGTAGGAGAAGGTCGCATGGCGCGACGTTTGGAATTGACACCGGGGATGCGTAGAATCCACCCGGTGTTTCATGTCTCGCTGCTCATCCCGTACAAGCCGAACGAGCTTCCTGGGAGAGCAGTGGACCCACCCCCTGAGCCAGAGGTGCTGGACACTGGGGATTTGGGGTGGGTGGTATCGGAAATCGTACACTCCAAGGAGTTGCGTTCAACGCGCGCCGGGCGTAGGACCCAGTACTACGTGCGCTTCGAGGGGTACGGGGACGAGCACAACGAGTGGGTTAGCCCCTCGGATTTCCACCACAACGACACGCTGGTGCTGGAATTCCATAAGCGACACCCTGAGTTGCCGGTACCGGGCCGCCAAGAGTACGGCGATGCTTGATGCGCTCGGAGCTCGCATCTAGGAGGGGGATCCTATTATAGGCGTCACGTGACGCGCGACCTACGGTGCGCGTCGCCTCGGGGTCTCGTTCGGAGACCCTCTCGGAGACCCTCTCGGAGACCTTTTAGGAGATGTTCTCGTAGACGTCTAACTAGTACCTTGTAGTAGTTAGACATCCGTTATTACATTACTATGCCTACCGTTACCTTTCCCCAGTCCCGCGACCTTATTACCTCAAGACCCGGCAGGTCGGCTGCCAGGCCTTATACTAGACCAGCGGGACCTTGATGTTTAGCTCGTTCCCGAGTGGTATCAAGCACTCGGTCGATCACCCAGACCAAAATCCGCACTGCTTGGCGCTTTGGAGCGATACGGTCGATACGGGAGGTCATAACCCCTAGACCAGCGGGACCTTGATGTTTAGCTCGTTCCCGAGTGGTATCAAGCACTCGGTCGATCACCCAGACCAAAATCCGCACTGCTTGGCGCTTTGGAGCGATACGGTCGATACGGGAGGTCATAACCCCTAGACCAGCGGGACCTTGATGTTTAGCTCGTTCCCGAGTGGTATCAAGCACTCGGTCGATCACCCAGACCAAAATCCGCACTGCTTGGCGCTTTGGAGCGATACGGTCGATACGGGAGGTCATAACCCCTAGACCAGCGGGACCTTGATGTTTAGCTCGTTCCCGAGTGGTATCAAGCACTCGGTCGATCACCCAGACCAAAATCCGCACTGCTTGGCGCTTTGGAGCGATACGGTCGATACGGGAGGTCATAACCCCTAGACCAGCGGGACCTTGATGTTTAGCTCGTTCCCGAGTGGTATCAAGCACTCGGTCGATCACCCAGACCAAAATCCGCACTGCTTGGCGCTTTGGAGCGATACGGTCGATACGGGAGGTCATAACCCCTAGACCAGCGGGACCTTGATGTTTAGCTCGTTCCCGAGTGGTATCAAGCACTCGGTCGATCACCCAGACCAAAATCCGCACTGCTTGGCGCTTTGGAGCGATACGGTCGATACGGGAGGTCATAACCCCTAGACCAGCGGGACCTTGATGTTTAGCTCGTTCCCGAGTGGTATCAAGCACTCGGTCGATCACCCAGACCAAAATCCGCACTGCTTGGCGCTTTGGAGCGATACGGTCGATACGGGAGGTCATAACCCCTAGACCAGCGGGACCTTGATGTTTAGCTCGTTCCCGAGTGGTATCAAGCACTCGGTCGATCACCCAGACCAAAATCCGCACTGCTTGGCGCTTTGGAGCGATACGGTCGATACGGGAGGTCATAACCCCTAGACCAGCGGGACCTTGATGTTTAGCTCGTTCCCGAGTGGTATCAAGCACTCGGTCGATCACCCAGACCAAAATCCGCACTGCTTGGCGCTTTGGAGCGATACGGTCGATACGGGAGGTCATAACCCCTAGATATTATAGGCGTCACGTGACGCGCGACCTACGGTGCGCGTCGCCTCGGGGTCTCGTTCGGAGACCCTCTCGGAGACCCTCTCGGTGACCTTTTAGGAGATGTTCTCGTAGACGTCTAACTAGTACCTTGTAGTAGTTAGACATCCGTTATTACATTACTATGCCTACCGTTACCTTTCCCCAGTCCCGCGACCTTATTACCTCAAGACCCGGCAGGTCGGCTGCCAGGCCTTATAGAATAACGGATCACCAAAGGACCCCGGCTGGGAACGTGAAAAGGGGTAGTGATGGGATCCCGCTGCACATTGGTGCTAGCGGTAACCCTAGTGGTCCGGAGAGCCACCTCACTCTGGTAGGAGTGTTCTACCCGCAGGGGATTCCCGTGCAGGCAGTGATGATGGTAGATTCGGGGGCCACGGGTATGTTCATGGATCGGACGTTCGCGAGGATCCATAACTTTGATGTGATAGACCTAGAGAACCCTAGGACCGTTACGGTCATCGACGGAAGAGAGATAGTGGGTGGTCAGATCACCCAGAAGGCACATGCTATTGTGCGGACAGGATTGCACCAAGAGAAGGCGGAGTTCTTCTTGACGGATTTGTGTGGGTACGCGGCGGTCCTCGGGATTACATGGTTACGACACCATAGCCCACACATCCAGTGGGATACGAATACGGTCACCTTCGCGGACGACTGTTTGAAGAAAGGATGCGTCAAGAAGGTAGAGGTAGTATGCTCCCCCGACGAGGTGGAGATAGAAACGCGGAATATCGATCCGCTGTCGAGAATGAAGGAGCCGATCACGGAGAATCTCGTGGTGGCTCAAATGCAGATGTGTCACCGAGTGAAGATCGGAACCGGAACGTCGGCTCAGCATAACCTCGGACTTATCCCGACGCGCTACGGAACGCGCCTTTATTTGGCCTTTCCGCCCGATTAAGCCCAAGACGCGCTCTTGACCGGTCGAACACACCGCCGCAACGTAGTTTAGAGGAGGGCGATCTATTGTAGAGTAGAATGAGGAGCTTAGAACCGAATTGGGTTCTAAGCGACGATATCGAAGTTCATCATACCGTTACCTTCTGTATCGTGGACTAAGTCACAACGAAACGGCCGCTATAGTACCAAAACGCCCCGAACCGCCCAACAACTCCCGCGTCGACGTATTCTAGCCTCCCCGTGACAGTATATCGTCGCTTCAAAATGTCTGCCCAGCGATCCACTTCTGCCCAACCCTTTGGTAGAACGAGGCTTCCCCGCAGCGGAAAAGCCACGGTTCCGCCCGAGACGGTAGAGGAGGATGACTCCGCTAGACAAGAACAAGACGAAGACGAACAAGGTCCGGCGAAGAATAGCGCCGGAGAAATTACGAACGCCGGCGAGGACGCCGAGGAACAGAACGACCGAGAAGGGTTAGATGACCAACTCGATGGAACAAGGGAACCGGATGACGAAGAGCAAGAACTGAGTTTGACGGAAAAGCTGTTTGAGGAACTCGAACTCCTCAAAATGAAGAACCAAAGGTTGGAATTGGAGATGAACGCGATGAGGGAACGGGCGGTGGAGAGGCCAACAAGGAAAGGAACGACGGGAGAAGAGGGCAAAGTGTCCGAACGCCGATCTGTTCGGGCACGGGTCCAGGCGGAAAAGTACGGAACCGCCTTGTCCGACAGCGAAGGAGATTACATGGATCCCGAAGACGTCTGGGAGGGCGTCGACCCGTACGCCAGACTGAACGAAGTTTCGAGTTCCGTTCGGGCCGCTGTCATGCAGGACAGGGCCAAAGCGTACGAAAAGGCCTCGGGTAGGGACCCCCGAGCCCCAGAACCGAACACATTTCACGGGAAAAGCAAGCAGCTGCCTTCTTTCCTCGTACAATGCGATACGTTCGTAACTTTGCAACCGAATACGTATCGGTCCGAGTTTCAAAGGGTACTGGCCGTTATTTCTCGGTTCCGAGATGACGCCGGGGTGTGGATTACGCCTTATATGGACTTAAGCGCCCGTGATAAGCCCCTTATGTTCCAGAATTATCAACTATTCAAGAAGGCTATGAGAGATCAGTGGCCGATGGACGACGAAAAGGAGAACGCTAGGCGGGTTCTTCAGGAAATGAAGCAGACTAGTACCGCTCAAGAGTATTTGGCCCGTTTCGCCCTACAGGCCCTGTATAGCGGGTACGATGACGATTCCTTGATCAGCCTCGCTGAAGGGGGTTTGGAACATTCCCTACTGATCAGACTCAAAAACGACCTAGACGCCCCGGAGAACTTCGACAAATGGAGGCAATGGGTCGTTCGTATCGAGAACCGTCAACGCATCACGGAAGCTCAAATCGCTAGATCCCGTTACCGTCCCAGTTCGGGACCTTTGTCGGCTTTTACGCCCAGAACCGCCGTGGCGGTCCCCGCTTCGATTCCTCAAACGGCCTATGTGCCTCGACGACCTTACATGTCACCGGAAGAAAGGGAAAGAAACATGCGAGAAGGGAACTGTTTCTCGTGTGGGGAAAAGGGACATATCGTTAGCGCGTGTCCGAAAAGAGGCGGAAAAGCCCAAAATCTGGCGACGGGGGCCAACGCTATGGAAGTCAAAGCCCGAGCCGCCTACGTTGAGGACTGTTCGAGCGATTCGGAAAAAGATTGAGCGAGGCGATTGGTCAGGAATCGTCTCGTGTGGAACAAAAGAAAACGACTGACACGCTTAGGAAAAGGTTTCGGATTTACATGGAGGGAAGTCATACGAGCTACTTCAGGGCGGAATTGGACGGTTTCGCCGGGAAATGGAAGTTCTTCCTGGACGATGGGACTTCTCAGAGCGCGATCGACCGACATTGCCCCTTACTTGAGGGTTTAGTACCGATTGCCTATGAGAAGAAGAAACGTCTGAGAAGGATTGACGGAACGATCGCAGCAGACGCGATCACGCACTTTGTCAAAATTCGGCTGCGAAAGAAGGATTTTGGACCAATCGAGATCGAACTGGCCATCATGGACCTCGATACGGGCGGAATAGTCCTCGGTTTGGACTTTAACGTCCGTTTCCGGGCCATTGTCGACTTTAGCGACATGTCTATCGAGATTCAAGACGACTGTTTGACGACGGAAGGGATCGAAGTGAAGGGAAGACGGAGCACGCTCGTAGATGGCAATGGATTGGAAAAGGGAGATCCGGTCTTTAATGCCCTGAAACTGGCAGAAGACCCCGACGAGGAAGAGGAAGAGGTCGAAGAGAGCGAGCTACGTAGCCTTGTACCGTCGGAATTTCATGGTAGTCTGGACTTATTCAAGCGTGCCAGTTACGAGTCATTACCCGAAAACAGGGATTTTGATCATGCGGTCGAGCTTAAAAGCCCTGAATTGTTACGAAAGGCCCGAGTCTACCCACTTTCGCATGCTCAAGATCAATGGCTGAAGGACTGGATTGACAAGAACAAACGGATAGGTCATATCGAAGAGTCGAAACACTGGTTCGGAAGCCCTGTGTTTCTGGTTCCAAAGAAAAACGGGGAATTCCGGATGGTGACGGATTTCCGGGAATTGAACAAGCAAACGGTGAAAGATATATACCCCTTGCCCCGGATCAGTACTCTACTTGAACGGATTAGGACGGCTACGATTTTCAGCAAGTTCGATATGCCCACTTCGTACCAATTGCTACGAATGCGCCCGGGGGATGAAAAATGGACGACTATTTTGACACGGTATGGGGCGTTTCAGTCCAAAGTCATGCGGGAAGGGATGTCGAATGCAGGCGCCAGCTTTCAACGGTTCATGAATGTGACTTTCGAAGACCTGATTGACGACGGAGTTATCGTCTACATAGACGACATTTTAGTGTACAGCAAGACCAGAGAAGAACATATCGTTACCATCAACAAGGTTTTTGATCGACTACGACGGGCAAAACTTTACCTGAAGCCGTCGAAGTGTGAGTTCTTCAAGGATGCGGTGGAGTTTTTGGGCTTTATAGTCCGAAAAGGTGTCGTGGAAATGGAGAAAGGCAAGTTGGAGTCGGTAAAACGTTGGCCGGCGCCTCGTTCTGTCAAAGAAATACAACAGTTCTTAGGCTTTGCGAACTTCTATCGACGGTTCATACGGGATTTTGCAAGCAAGGCCCAACCTTTGACGACTTTGACGAGGAGTACGGTACCGTGGGCATGGACCGAGAAGGAGGATTTGGCTTTCAAACAGCTCGTCACGAGCTTCACAGAGGCACCGGTATTGCGTCAATTTGACCCATCGCTGCCGATTACTATAGAAACAGACGCGTCGGCGTACGCAGTAGCCGCGGTTGCGAGCCAGAGATTCCCTGAAGCGGACGGTTCAGCCATTTTACGTCCGACTGGATTTTTCTCGAGGAGACTGAAGCCGGCCGAGATGAATTACAACGTCCACGACAAGGAGTTATTGGCCGTGCTGTTAGCTTTTCGGCACTGGAAACCTAACCTATTGGAGAACCAATATCCTGTGGAAGTCATTACCGACCATCGAAATCTGGAATATTTCCGTGAAAAGAGGGAGCTGAACAACAGGCAAAAACGATGGCAGGAAGAGCTAGCCGATTTCAATTTCAATCTTCGCTACCGACCGGGGCGGAAAGGTACAAAACCGGACGCACTGACAAGGCGCCCCGACTACCACCCTGGACGTAACAAAGCGGAAAGGGCCATAGAAGCCAAGAACAACGAGTCGGTTTTGCTGGAAGACAGGCTGTTCGTGGAAGGACGGGCCGCTATCGTTGAGGAAGTGGACGAAGGCGAAGGAAACAGCTGGAGCGAGGAAGTACTCGCGGGTTACGAGTTGGGTACGTTACCGAATGGTATGAGAGAAAAGGTTTTCGCTTTGATTCCTTTCGGTGAATCGGAGGTCGGTGCACCTCTCACCTTCAAATGGACTCGCGGAGGGTACTTGTGGTGGAAGGATAGATTGGTAATCCCGCAATACGGGGCGCTTTGGTCCAAAACCGTCGGCAGTCGGCACGATGCG